GATCGAGAGCTGCAAAACCATTTCGGTCCGTGGTACGAACGCTATTTTTCACCACACTATACCATATTACCACTATTCGCCACTATAATAACGCACACTGATAGTCAACACAACTACAACTTTAAGGTTATGTGAAGAAATAATTTGAGGAACCAGCAAAAATAAAAATAAATAGTTGCTAGGCAACGGTGACAATAACACAATTCTATTGCAATGCTATGGATTTTGATTGTGTATTTGTAAGCGGACAGCTGATTTTGCGGCCCCGGCCTGTAAAAACCTGCTCGGTCCCCAAATTACGATGACAGCTGGCATGGCCAGCAAAACGTAACTTTCAGCCACCAATTAACGTATGTAATACAGCCAAAAACATCATAGTGTGGTGAAAAATATATAACTTACTAACAGGTAGCAGTCTAACAAAATGAAAAATCTTTATAATTGGTAACTGCTTAATGTGCACTGGAACAATACATTTGAGCGCTTGCTCCTGCAGAATATCTTAGTGCTACAGATATTTAAATTCATATCTGTATCTGTTAACAATATAACTTAAAATTAAAAATCGTATTATCTTGATCAAAGTTGGTGCGAACATGTAACACGTTTTCGGGGTTTTATGGGGTGAAATTCTTTTGTTTCATTTTCAACCCTCAACACATGAAATTTGCCAATTTCTTTCTAAACCATTTTGTAGGGAAAACAAATACCGGTACCTAATTTAGTATAATGTATTGGTTTGTTGTTAAAAAACTGTAAATCTAAAATTCCAATGTTATTCTAATACTGTAGTTTGCTTGTTAATATGACCAAATTTGGGATGTTTTCATTTCATACTAAGCTATTGAGGTTTTACCAAAAACACTTTACCTTCACTGATAACTAACAACAACCCTAAGCCACTCATTAAACCTAATTGAGTTGATAAGATAATGAATCTATGGAAATTCACTTAGTCTGCAGGTTTGCTGAGGCAGGGGTATGCCATCAGCGTTAGCATCAAAATGTGATACCAAGTCGAAAGGTTGCACTACCTGCGGTATTCAAAGCTGAAACTATTTCCGACTGTTTTGTCAGAGAAACCATAGGCCCCTCGCCCACTATACGATTTCGGTCGTACGACACTGTGTCGGAACGACAACATTTCAACAGTGAACCATTGGCTCTTATGAGAGCTCGCCCACTGTACGATAATCTCACGACTACGACAAACTGTCGTGAAGCAGTCGTCCATACGGATACCTAGCCTATTCCCACAAGAAAATTATCACTTACAAAGTACAGAAGCAGGCGCTGAGTGGTGAGTAGTCAGCAAATCTAGTGATAAGGCAATACTGACTACTGAGTCATCAAAAGGCTAAGCTGAGAGTCATAACCTTTAGTGCAACACCTGATTGATAACGCGCACGCTCCGCTTGTCAGCTGATTGTGGCCACTTCCGGTTAAGCCTACACCGGAAACCAGGGACAACAAAGTACGTTTCCGCTATCACACGCACGCCGACAAAGCGGGTTGACGTATCGAACACTGGTCCGAATGTTCGTGATCAGAGTAAACCATGAAGTTGTAAATATGTTAACTGCCGTACACAGAGTATAAATATTTATATTTTGTTTAGATCTCCCTGTACTAAACCTATACGTAGTGCCTGAAACCAAACCGAGTTTGAGAAGGAAAATTTTGGAAATCTAGCTTATTCCGGGAGAGGAAAAGTTTACCGTAAGACCGTTTCCCGTTTAACTTTAGTTTTGAAAACAGCTACAAATTAACACGTAATTACTCAACAGAGATATGATCATATTCAAAAGTAAGAGTGAAGTATAATTTACCACAAAAAATGGACTACACAGTGCTTTTTAAATACCCACGCCGCAGCAAACCTGCAGATCAAGCGAATTTCCATTTGTCTGATTGGATTTTCATTCCAATACTTCCTTTAAGTTTTCATATCCATCCCTATTTAACCAACATTAAGTTTAAGGTGTGCGTTTGCTGCTACAGGGAAGATAACAACGTGTTTAAAGGAAATATTAATAGCTTAGTATAAAACAAATACATTTCCAAATATGATCAAAATATAGTCTATCCACAAACAAGCAAGCTACAACATTATCGATAAAAAAACATGGGAATCTCAAATTTTAAGGGTTTTACATTTTTTCCTTAACCAATTAGCATCTTGCATCAACGATTCAACATACCAATTATTTTGGTTTTTAAGCTCTAAAAAGGATTCAGGAAATAATTGTAAAGTGTTATGTTAAAAAGGTAAACAATGGGGAAAACATATTTTTCCCCATAAATTCCCGTTCACTCTGCCTTTTCAGATTCAGATCATATAGGCCTATGATAATTTTACCACAGGATGTTTTTTTACAGGTTATCAAGCAAACATACCATAATTTAAGTAGGCTAGCCTATAAGTTATATAAACTTGAACGAATTGTGTTTTTGGCCTAAATAAGTACCACAAAAAAAAAAATAGGATAAATCGGTCACGGGTCCAAGCCTTAAATTAAGCCATGGTCAGCTTATTTTCCTATTTTAACTTACTGTATGGGAAATTCACTTATAGGCTACTGGTACAGTCATAAAAAAAAAACTAAAATAAGTTAGATTTAAAAATATTAAGTTAATGATAGGTTTTACATTTAACCAACTAGGTTCTAGACATTTAACAAACTAAAAAAAATTTCTTAAAAAATGTTTTCAGGTAAAATACTCAAGTTATACCATCAAGTATTGGGCCACGTATAAGTTTATGTACTCAATATAATTAACAAAGTAGACGATTGAGTGAGTGTGAGATATTAATATTTGGTAGATGTTGGCAACACGGCATTATTGCCAACTGTTGCCCAAGCTTGACCCACAAAATACTACGTTTCCCACCTGTCATAACAACATGTTTATAGCCAACGATAATACTGTCTGAAAGTTAAGACTTTAACTTACTACAGCCCTCTACAACTTACACATCAAACTTGACTAGCTAACGTCCTAAACTTTTTCATCCCTGAGCAGCATTAAACATAGGCTATACGTTCATTTACAGAAAAGTAATTTTTAAAAGAAAGAATGCACATGTCATGTTAATGGCTTGATTTATAGATTTAAACTTTTACGTCTAGAAACGATGGTATTGCCTATTACCATTGACTATATATTACTTCATAAATAACACAGCCTACCACCCTCATCGAAGCAAACCTTCATACCGCTAGCGAGAAAATCACCAACTTCAGAATTAGGCCTAAAGTTAGACTACAGTAATAAATTGATTTAGGCCTAAGAGATTTATAATTCAAAAGATGATAGGCCTATGCAGTTTGGTAACATATTTAAACAATATAGCTAACCTCAGACTAAATTGTGACTTAAAATCAATATCATCATCAAATTGAGATGGGGATTGGGGATGCCAAAATGGATGGATGGTTTGGGCTAAAAGTTTTTTTCTGACAAAGTATTGTAAAACTGTATTTTACTATCTTAAATAAACATGATTTAGATTTTGATGCTACCTAGCTGCGTATTTTACCCAAAAAAGAGTGAAGACGAGTGTATAATGGAGTGAGATGCCTTGTGTGGCTTTGTGACTGACTAAGGCCCGGTTTCTCCAATTATCGTTACCTAAACTTAAACTGGTTTAAGACTAGCTGTTTCATTAGCAAGGACCATTTATTAAAAGCCAAATGGTCAAAGACAAAACTGGGTCCACTTTTGAACCATCTAAAGCTACACATTTTTTTCAGTAGGCCTATCGTAGGCCTACTGCCGTGGCGACTTTTTGTTTACTAGGCAAGAACAACACCACTCGCTACCCAGCTAAATATTTTCTACTAGGAGAGACACACAGAACTGATCCAAATCGTTGTGTTACTCCCCGATCTCACTTCAACCTTCTGTTAAGTTACGCCTAGAAGTTAGCATAATCCTTATATAGGCCTAATACGTGAAGGCGATTTCTACGAAACACTACAGTACTCTTCCGTTAATAATGGACAGATTATTACAAACAATGTGTCAAAATTAAGTATTGTTTGTGTAGACGCCCCCTTTCACCAATTCCTGTAGTAAAAGTCCTTGGGCTTTGCCCCTCAGGTCATCAAAATCCCAATGTATTTCTTATGAAGAACAGATTTTGTTTACTTAAACAGATAAATAATTCGTATTAAACAGCTGTTCGTAGTAAACACATGATACACGCAAGAGAAAGAGCGTTCTTTTTCAGAGTGAGTTCGTTTTCAGTTTCGATAACTGGAGTGGAGTGAGCGTTCGTTTTTAGAGTGAGTTCATTTTCAGTTTCGATGACTGGAGTGGAGTGATTGATTACACTATCTATGAGTTGACTCCTTTAAGTCATCGGATATTATGACTGTTATTCGTTTTTAAATAGCCTACTTTATTCGAACGAGTTTGCAAACCAGCATGATCGGACTATGGGAACGAGGGTTTATGGGGTAAAGTTACTTCAAGGAGTCACAAAGCTTTGTATAAGCAAATGTGGCTGCACTTTACTTTAGGTCCTACACTCATTCGAATGAAAATATTGATCGATATATCGATTAATCGATTGTCCAAACGATATATCGAATGAAACAATCGAATAATTGATATTTTCGTTCGAAAGAGTGTAGGACCTAAAATAAAGTGCAGCCGCAAATGTCTTTAAAATGAGTTCTAAACTTAGGTATCAAGAAGTCAATAGGTACAATTAACTTAAGGTAAGTCAGGCCTACTAATGTACTACCCGGTAGGCCTACTAAATAATTGGGTAATTAGGTAGGCCTAATTAAAATGTCCATGTCAAATAACTTCTAGCCTAGATGTAAATAAATAAATTAGTTAAGTTATACTTAGACAAGGCCTTGGGCTGATGCTAGGCAGGCGTTCAAATACCTGTTTAGTTCATAAGTATCTACCAACTATTAACCATACTAATAATTAAATCCATACAGTCATGCACTGTCCTGTGAAATACAACCAAACCAACGTACCTTCATATCCTGAATAATTTGTTGAAACAGTCCTCCAAGAGCACTGCATTCTCTTTCAGCGTTTGCCTCCATTATTGATTTATCACATACAACGATATTAGAATAGGTAGTCGTTTAGCGAATGTAAATTTTTTAACAATTAACAAAACCGTACAAATAATGTATCACGGATTCTGTCACATTACTGATGGAAATCGATATTGAACTTGAACATCGGACGTACTGTATACCGATTTTCACTTTACCTACATGTAAAATAATCACTGGGCTTCACCGTATATTAGCTATGAACACTCGAAACACATTATTTAATTATAATAACACCTCAGTCGCGCTTCTGTACAGGGAAAACTATTACACATATCAAAATATAAACAAACTCGGCCGTGAGGCTAGGGAACCCTTCCTCTATATAAACAATGTTTTAGACCCCACAAATGTATGTGTTTGCAAAGTCATTAACTTCGCTAAACACCAAAAATCACTAATAATACACCTTATCCAATGAATAGTTGATATAAATATAACGATACACTATCACCATACACTGTAAACAATCGTTTACCACAAACGCCGAACCAAACAACACCACAATCCACACTACTCCAACTTGCTCTTTGGTGTTCCCGATCCCTTCACTTGATCAGTCACTTCCACAATCATTATTGCCCTTTCCAGACGCAGCGAGGAGCAAAGCTCGTCTCTGATTGGTCGAACAGTAAATAGGTTTTCAACATGCTGCTGCTATCTTGTAGCAAAAGAGAGAACTGTGTGAACTTCAAGATCCATGGAGGAATGCAATCTGTGTTGAGTAGTGCAAAGAGTTACAGCACAAACTACGGAAACCTTAATATCATAGATTAAACATACTCCCCAAGAAGTTTACTTGGGGAGTATGTTTAATCTATGATACTATTTATTGTCTGTGGTTTTAGCGAATTTCCAGAATTTTTTATATGTGGTCAGTTTTAGCGAATTCCCCATATAGGGAATAAGCTATTACCGTAGTACTCATGGTAAGACCTGGATCCGGGATCTTCTTTTTCGTTTTAAGGTCCCACCAAAACACCATCCGTTCAAATTCATATAAATTAAATATATATATTGATGAAATGTAATAAAAACTTGTGTAAACCTACATTTATTCCAACGAGTTCGCGAACCAGCATGATTGGACTATGAGAACGGGTGATTATGAGGTAAAAATTTGTTTTTCCCATTTTTAACCCCTCAAAACAAAAAATAGCAAATTTTTCCAGCCCATCTTGTAGAGCTGACAAAAACAAATAATTTAGTATATTGAAGTGTTATGCACCTAAATGGTTACGGAGAAAATTCCAAAATATTGTAAATTTACAATTCCCATGTTTTTCTTACGGAGGATAAGTTAGTAAACTGTTGTAGTTTGCTTGTTTCTATGAACATATTTTGATCAAATTTGGAAAATGCATTTATTTCTTACTAAACTGTTAACATAAAAAAAACACTTTTACCCTTGTTGTTGCGGCAAATCTGAGTACATTAAATAGGGAATAAATATGTTATTAAAAGGGATATTTTAGTGTAAATCCAATCAAATACGCTTAGTCTGCAGGTTTGCTGCGGTGGGGGTATTTATACATTACGACATTATTAAAAATAGTTGTTTAGCCTCCGGATTACTGTATTATACTTAAAATGGTTTACAATAGGTACCTGCATATAGTAATCCTTTGTTGCTGATTTTGGCAACTAGTTTCGGTTCATTAGTGAACCATCTTCAGGCCTCAAGGGCAGGCTCAAGTTGGATGTGGGATCAACATTTTAAAACCCCATTTCCATTTGAGTACCAAACTCAAAATCTTGATATAACAAAACGAACAAAAATTTGATAAAATTTGGTGCATTTTTTTGTCTCAAATGTACAAACATGAAAAGTCTGTAACAAATTTAAAGTAAATTTGTCCACTATCGTGTTAACACACATATACAGCTACATTATATTAATTTAGGCAATGTATTATGGGTACTGTCGTTGTGTTGGCTATCTTGTGAGTTTTTAAGGCGATAACATCTGTTACTGTTTTTAATTCTTTCTGTCATTCGCCCTGCTGGTGGTCTTGTTCTGGTTCTGTTCTGGTTAATGTTGTTTATTTTCTATTTATATGTGTGTGATGGTTATAGTGATTAGCATAAACGGGAATTCACAGTAAAGATAAGTTTTTTAGTTACCATTCTCATATTGTATCAGAGTAAACTTTTTTGTCGATTTCAACATTAATACATCCAGTAATTACTTTACAGCACTCGTCTTAAAATGTAAATAGTTAAAACGAAAGTATTATTGTGCAAAATAAAACAGGCTAGGCTGTAAGTTTACCTACTTTGCGTGATAGATTTAGGCTAATCTTTGAAAGTTAAGATTCAAATTTCGGTCGGATCTACGTTAACTGAAAAATGTCTTTCCTAAGAGGTTCCACCAACTACGTGTGGTGCACAACAAGTGTTCTTGGCAAAGGTGCTACAGGAGCTGTTTATCAAGGAGTGAATAAAAACAATGGGGAACCAGTTGCTGTAAAAACGTTTAACCAATTAAGTCATATGAGACCACATGATGTACAAGTTAGAGAATTTGATGTTTTGAAGAAAGTTAAACATGAAAACATTGTCAAATTATTGGCTATTGAGGAGGAACAAGAGGGTAGAGGCAAGGTAATAGTGATGGAGCTCTGCACAGGAGGCAGTTTGTTCAATATACTCGATGATCCAGAGAATACCTATGGACTGCCAGAAGAAGAGTTCCTTCTTGTGCTTGAACACTTGTCAGCTGGAATGAAGCATTTGAGAGACAACAATCTTGTGCATCGAGATTTAAAACCGGGTAATATCATGAAATTTATTTCAGATGACGGAAGAACAGTTTACAAACTAACTGATTTTGGAGCAGCTAGAGAGCTAGAAGAAGATCAGCAATTCATGTCTCTCTATGGAACTGAAGAATACTTGCATCCTGATATGTATGAAAAAGCAGTTCTAAGAAAACCAGCTGGAAAAACATTTGGTGCAACAGTAGATCTGTGGTCATTTGGTGTAACTCTTTATCATGTTGCGACAGGCAACCTGCCATTTAGGCCTTACGGAGGGAGGAGAAATAAGGAAACCATGTACTACATTACAACTAAGAAAGCTTCAGGTGTTATTGCTGGGACACAAACATCTGAAGGCGGGCCGATAGACTGGTGCAGAGACCTACCCACCAATTGTCAACTATCAATGGGGTTAAAGAAACATGTAACTCAACTGCTTGCTGGTCTACTTGAAGTAGATTCACAGAGAATTTGGAGTTTTGAGAGATTTTTTACTGAAGTAACAAACATCTTGAACAGAAAACTTATTCATATCTACAATGTAAACAAGGTTCAAAGTGTAAGAATATACTTCCACCCTGAAGAAACCTATGATGAGTTCCAAACACAAATCCAAGAACAAACTGATGTTCCGGTTGACAACCAAATTTTGCTCTTTAAAGATAGTCATTTTTACGGCATCGTCAAGAAATCAACCCCAGGGAGAATGTATCCTCAAACTGAAGAAACAAAGCCTATATTTTTGTTCAGTAAAGAGAACAATAATGTCATTTTTAACCCTGAGAAAGAACTCCCCAAGTTCCCCGAGTTCCCAAATCATGTTTCAGTAGAAAATGATGCCAGTATTGCAAAAACAGCCTGTAGTGTAGGACATGTATGCAAGAGAAGAATTGAAAAGTACTCTAAATGTAGCCAATTAACTCACGACTGTGTGCAAATGTTTAATACTGTTGTATGCAATGAACTCACTAATGTGTTGAACAAAAACAATTCTCTAAGGACAAATGTTAACAAAAGCACTGAAAAAATTGTTGAATGTGTAATGAGAGGACAAAAATCAGTACAGAATTTAACTGGAGTTAAAAACACTCACACTCATGTTGATTGGAAGGTATGTCAAACTTATGTTTACGTTCATAGACTAAGTTAGGTTATCAAGGTGAACCACATGTTTATAAATACAATAACTTTGCCTAGACTATATTGTTTTACAATTAATGTATCAAGCAAGGGATTGGACATTTGTTATGGTAGTTTCACCTTGGCTATCGGTAGGCGGATATATCTGCTTATCTTTTTGGGCTCCGCAGACGGTAAACTTACGTGTATTTATTCGCCGACTAGGCCTATTATGACAGTTATTGTTATAGGCCTAGTTGTTTGTCTATAAGTCAACATACAATCATCGTACATCATCGTAAATCGTTAATCATCGTAAAAATGTGCTTTTATTCAATTGTATCTTAAACCAAGGTAGGCTACATAAAAAACATTCAGCTCTGAATGTTTTTCTAGAAGAATAAAAAAATGTAGTACTAAAAAAATGTCTACTTATTCAATAAAAGTAAGAAACAAACCTTTAAAAAAATTAAGAAAACATTTTAGACAAAAGTGATGCATATACTGTAAATTATAATAAAATAATATTTTTTAGTTTTTGTTTAGATAAAATAATTTTCCTGTCTGTATACATACGTCTGGGAGGGGTTTTAAAAAACTGAAGAAATAGGTTCGGTAACGGTAAACACTTTGCAAACACTTCCCATGAATGATCTCACATTATGAGCACATTATGACATTATGAGCCTTTGTGGAAAGTGTCGAAATGAAAACGATATCTTGAAAGGTCCTTTTAAAGTTTTAAAGTTAAACAAATTAAGATAAGTTTAATCATATCATTTCCTCTTCATATTTCAGAGACAGCTGGAATCCTTGAACAAGAAACTCATTGACGACCTCGGGCTGTCAATACAACAGCTTCACACTCGCCATGTGTCAGAGCAGGCATTGAGTCAGGAGTGGTCTACGCTGGTGCGAGGACTGACCTGTCTGTCGCAGACTCGGGCGGCTGAGCGTGCTCGCACGTACATCGAGCGGCTGCGGGATTCTTGGCAACACCTGCTGAGAGATAGAGCCACTCGAGGCCTCACCTATAATGACGAACAGTTCCATGTTTTGGAGAGAATAAAGGTGAGTTGATAATTTGAGCCTACCTACCTATACCAGGTACATCGTTTAACTCGTGGGGTGGGACTTTCACATTAAATATATAGCCCTATTTACCCTAACATAGCCTACATTTAACGAAACTTTGCTGTGGATAGGCTTGTATTCAGGTCCAAAAAGGGATTTAATTCAGGCCATTCAGATAATCCTGACAGTTTGTCTAGTCCCAGGCCCGTTTTTGGCCCTGTTAGCGCCCTAGGCACAACTAATAGTAGCGCCCCTTTGGAATATATATATAAGGGTGTCCACCGACCGGGTAATCCGGGAATCATGCGGGAATTTTATGAACCGGGAATTATGTGTGAATTTTGTATTTCTACCTGGAGTTTTCAAATTACTGTGATCGCGCATGACAACAGTTTCCGTGACCGCGGGAGACGATAATATGTCTACACTCGGCCGCGTGATATTCAGAATATTGCCCCGATTACGGAAGACGATGATAATGTCCACATGACCGCGCGAAACAGCAAGAATTTTACCGCGATCGCGGAAGACAATGATGATCTCGACACAAGTGCGGAACATGATTAACATTTTGCTGCAACCGCGGGAGACGATTACCATGTATACACGACCACGGGAGACGGTTACGATGTCTACAGGACCGCGGGAGATGCAATAATAATTTACACGGCCGCGAGGGACGATCAGAATATTGCCGCGATCAGGCAAGACAATAATAATATCCACATGACCGCGGGAAAAAATCTGAATTGTGCCTCATTCACGGAAGACGACGATCTCCATATGTCCACAGGGGATGATTACAATTTTTCCACAATCGCAAGAGACGATTATGCGATATCTTCAGGACCGCGGGAGATACATTAATGATTTCTACACGGCCACGAGCGATGATCAGAATATTGCCGCGATCACGGAAGACGATGATAATGGCCACACGATCGCGGGAAAAGTTCAGTACTTTGCCTAATTTGCGGAAGAGGATGATGATCTCCACATGACCGAGGGAGATGATTACCATTTTGTCACAATCGTGGGAGGCGATTAATATGTTCACACGACCGCGGGGGACGATATAATGATGTCTTCACGGCCGCGATTGGTGGTCAGAATTTGACCGCGATCGCGCAAGACGAAGATAATGTTCTTGTACAATGAATTACCCCTGTATCTTAAAACTTTAAATGCTACTCAATTCAAAGATAAAATAAAATATAAAATAATTGAGAAAGCCTACTATTCACTTGACGAATTTTTGGAGAACCCTATAATGTAGATAAAAATTCTCTGATATCCTACATGAGTTTATTTTAATTATTTTAACTATTAATTTTACTATAAAATACATCACTATGACGAAACACCTGTTCTTATGTATGAAATGTACTTTATAAAGAACGTATTGTGTAAATAAAATATGTCTTATGTCTTATGTCTTACGACCGCGGGAAAAGATCAGAATTATGCCTCATTCGCAATAGACGGTGATAATCTCCTCACGACCGCGGGATATGCTCATATATTGCCTCGATCATGGAAAACGATAATTATGTCTAAACGACCTGACCGCTGAAAATAGTAAGAATCTCGCCGCAAACGCGGGAGACGATTACGATGTCTACACGGCCGCGAGGGATTATCAGAAGTTTACCGCAATCGCATGCAAACAACCACCATTTTTTTTTATTTTCCAAATTTTTGGCGCCCCCCAAAAAAGCCAATTGCCTCGCGCCCTAGGCACGTGCCTACCGTGCCTATTCGGTAAATCGGCCCTGTCTAGTCCTAACCCTGCTGCACTAGTCTCCTAACCACACTTCTCCTGTTTAGTATCATGAAAAAGTTACAATTATGAACAAGTTACACTAATCTAGGGGTTAAGTCTGTGCTTCAGCTGGCTTTGGTTGAGGTTTGGAGGCTGGTCCCTGTGAACAGACACTAACCCAACCCTAGGTCTACGTTAACATTTCTACGACTGTAGGCATTATGTTGCCTATTTTGATGCCTTGCCCAATTCTCTATTAACTTATACCGAGGTTTGTAGTGAGGGAATTCTTAAATTGAAACATAGGCTATACAAAAAGCACTCACATAATTTGCGGCGACTACAATTTTACCGAGGCATGTGCTGTAACATGTGACAAATGAGTTCTGGTAACGTCTGATAACTTAAAACACAATGTAAAAATAGTATATTTCATCACTTGGGCGGTCAACGGACGAGGTCAACGGAAAATAAACAAGGGTTAAAAAGACACTTTTTGCCCGTGTGGTGAACTATATTTTTTGTCATATTGCATCATTTTAAAAAAATACGCTAGAAAACAAAATAGTTTTGATGTATTTAACCTCTCAAAACGACTTTCAGCTTGTTTTCAATTCTGTTAATGCAAATAAGCAGCTGTTTAGTAAGTGATTCAATCATTTTGTTTATTACAATTGTGTTACAGTACATTATACCATCGATATATTGAGCGATCGACAACAAGAGGCTAAAACCTTACCTAATAAATCAATCGATCCCTAGAGAGTAAAAATACTACTTTAGACGTGCAACGCATGCATTAAGAACAACTGTTTTTGTTGCAATAGGACAACAACTACCTATTTAACATTTTGGTTTTAGACAGCTCAATGTCCAGATAAATCAAGTAGGCTACTCTATTGTAACAATACATTTCACAAATAAAACCAGCACTGTTGGAGACGCTATCAAATTCGTTATAATTTGAATTTGATCTGGTTTAGAATGAACAATTAATTTGTGTTTGTATTCATTTAGTTTCAAACCCTTCCACTTAATCCATTGAGAGAGTTCAGTCAGTTATTGTTCTATTGATTCATGAAACAGATCTAAAGTTTGAGCCTAAATAATTGTCGTTTAGTTATCTGTATGGTTTACACAATTACACATAGGCGGTGGGTTAGAAATTTACGCTTACACCATTCTGTCCGTCGAGCAAGACACTTTTCTATACGGCTTTGAAGTCCCTCAAATTCTTCCAAAGAGGAGGAAAATTGCAGTGCTCTCGAGGACTAATCCTAACATGTAGAGCTACAGCCGAACCATCAATAACATTTATTTCTATACAGACCCTATTAAATAAAAACCCATTAATAAAATCAGTTCTGACAAAAAATGCAAGATAGGTAACTATACTAGGCCTAAGCTCTTTTAGCTCACTCTCGCTTAATTTGATATTAATACCTTGTTTAATCCGCCACGTTTTGTTTGTCATTAAAACCTTTAAATGAGGAAACAATAATGCCGGAAGATTAAATTATAGTTATAATTGATGATGATCAAGGGCATTTTTTAGGTGTGCATTTGCATTGCCCAGAGAAAAAAGTTTAGTTGTTATCTAAAGCAATTGTGAACAATAATCTCATTGATAATTGTTATCTTCAGTAAACTGTTAATTTTGTATGTTGTGTGATAATTTCCAAATTTGCAGTTTAAATACTGCGTTTGTTTTGTTATGATTTATTATTAAATTTGAGAGATCTGTTTGTTCTTTAGCTAACATAATTTTTCTCACCTTCGATGCCTTAAGTGCCAAGTACTTTTTAAAACACATATTTTAGCAATGATTCGATGAATAGGCCTAGCTAACAATAATTTAAGTAGACAATCATTTCTGTTAGATATAAGGGAAAACAGTAAACAGTTATTATTTAAAATATGTAAGTTTTATTTCAACAAGTATAATGTAAATGTTCCTTAAAAAAGGTCACTTTTTTATCCAATAAAGCTTACTATTTTATTCTCATTATTTGGTCAGTAAAATGAAAAGCTGGCTATAAAAATCCTAGCAAAAAGTTATTCTCTTTCTACCTGTACGGATTTTTTTTTAAGTAGGTATGTTTGTCATTTATACTTTTTTACCAAACCATTCTCCGTGAAACTTTTTAAAATTTTGTATACGCCTGTAAGGTTTTGTCCTGTTCCTTATTTTAAAATCAACTTTTTCTCCAAAGCTACTAAGAAACCCTTCAGGATAGAAGCTACTACAGATTACGCTTGGTAATTAAAACATTTGACGGATCCAAACTTTTGATACTTGAAATAAAAGCTCAGTCCGTAGAGAATCTCTTAATATTTCCAAGTTTACCATGCATTTTGAAACACTCGGGCTGGGCCAGTGCCAGATTTAGGGTACTAGGCCAAATTACTCCATTGATTCCCACCCCTGTGTTGGAAATTTCCTGTGATATTGGTGAGATCGTGAAAATCTCCCAAGATCAAGGAAACATCATCATCATCACCCAAGATTGCAACAAATTAATAGTTCAAAGAAAATTGACTTTTTTGTTCTGAAAAAAATGTTTGTGTAAATCCGGCACTGGGCTGATTTGGAACACACAGTAATTTGAAGTTTAGTCGACAAGACACTCTATAATTCATTCAAAGGGATGGATTCTTACCTGCCTTAACAGGAAACTATACATCCTGTCAGCCTAGTAGTTTGTCTTAAATAATGTCATCAATAACACAAGAATAAATAGCAAAAAGAACAGATTTTAAACAATAGATTTTAAATAGCAAAATTACAGATTTTTGTAACTATCTAAAAAATAAGCTGTTTAACACGTTCGCTACTGAGCGTTGCCATTGACTATATATACCTACAGGACCATATATGCGACGCCGCGGTCATTGCCACAGACCGAGGTATACATTTGAATCTTACAAATAGACCGGCTGTCAATTGGTTAACTGTACACACAGACCACGGGCGAAAACCTGTAAAACAGTGATAATTTACTTTGTAATACTCTGCAATCGTGTTTGTAATTAATTTATTCTAGTTTGTTTGTATTTTTTATAACCTTTTGTAATGTCGCATATTTGCGACGCCCGGTCTACAGCGAAGACAATAGTGAAAATAATCATAGTTTTCTTGAAATAGACCAAACGTTGCAAATATGCGACGGTTCATTTTGTGTGTTTTGATGTGAAAGTAAGTAAAATAAAAACAGACTATTCAAGAACAGTTAACAACTGAACAAATATAAAAACTACATAGGATAATGCAGCATACATACTGCATACATACATACAGTGATGCAGAAAAGTAAAGATTAATTTTTCCAACTATCATATGACGTCACCAATCATCATATCCACAGACCAAGCGACGTAATTGTGCGTCAGACCTCTCTGTAGACCACTGCAGGGAATTCTGTGCCTTCAAATACACCGTTACAAAGATATAAGCATTTTAATAACACTAGAATCCCGACGCAAATATGCGATGGCAGTCTATTTCAATGTGACTAGCCGACGCATATATGCGACGCCAGTCTATGGGTAGAAACCGGCCGTCGCATATGTGCGTCGCTAGTCCATGTGAATGAAAAATTTTGTACTATTGCAGTAGCAAACTTGTTAATGTCCTCTAATGTTTATAAAAAAAATCAATTGTATCTTTTTATTTCTCTTTGTAATTGGTTTATATATTTCTCTCAATAAATGAAACCAACCTCTTGAAATCCAAAACACTGATAATTCAAATTTATTTGTTTTGACCTATTTCAAATTCTAAAGAGTCTACAGTAGCAAAAAATAAGTTAAATTATAAATCTAATGCACTATTCTCTAACAATCACAATCAAATTTGTGTATATTTTTTATACCAGTTTCTATGACCATTGTTTGGGATTCTCTGAAAGATTGCGTTTTACAGATTGGTGAAGTGGGGCGAGTTGTCAAAACTCTTTTGGAGTCAGAAGTGATACCCTCTATCACACAGCTTGCGGACAGCCTAGCAGACTGGTACAAGATGTCACAGACTGTGTATTTGAAGGTAATTTAGCATTTCAAACTTCAGTTTCTGTACTTTATCTCTTTACGTGGCAAAAGGGTGATCGATCGACTGTTGAAGGTAACTTAATCAAACTTAACAATCACAGTGGAGCGTCGATTATCCGAAGCCCGGTCATCCGAAAGGTTGATAAACTAAGGGCCTAACACTGGTGATGCTGCGATTGCGAAGGATGATCTGTGACACAGAGAGGGCATGCTGTGCTCACGGGTGTTGCCGCAAAGCGATCGTTCGTCTGAAAAAAACACCTCCAATCCCCAATTGTTTTGAATAATCCACTCTTAACTGTACTGTGAACTAATCTTCCCGATATCGTAACTAGGTTGTACCGAATCAGTGCATGTGGGTAAATTGTTAAATAAAAACATTAAGCTGTACAGTTATCTCAACGAAATAGTGTAAATTTCTCGTCCCGTGATCACAGTGAATTAGTGAACGTCTTCAGCAGTTGTGTAGTTGTACATTATTTTAGATCTCGCAATTTCCGCATATGCTTTCTCAGATTGTAATGATATTGCAAGAATAAAACTTGGTATTCAATCACTCGGGGGGAAATAAATAAAATAATAGTTTTTTATTGTATCATGATCAGATCAGTTAGACCATTTGTGAAACTTATTTTACTCTTCATGGTGGAAAAAGATCACAATAATCCTTTAAACTAAATCAAACATCACCAACAATGGAGTGTAAACCAAGGATTTTTAAATGTTGAAAATTGAGAATGAAAATTAAAATCCAACCAAGGTTGACTGCAATCTACAGTATGATATGAAAACACAACATGTGGTATCGGGATTATAAAACTGTTATCAGCAGTTTATAAGCTTACTCGTTGCTACAATCCAGACAATTAAGACTTTGGACAATGCAATTGACTAGATTGTACATATTTTAATACTAGAACAATAATCCTTGATTAGACTAGTATTAAGTTTGCAATTCAGTGCTTTTAGTGCACAGTTCCTCAATCTAAAGTACTGTAACATAGTGATAGCATAATGTGCCTTTTGAAAGCTACAGTTCGGCAAGAACGTTCATATGTGATTGCTTTAGTGAGAAGAAGTGCAATCAACAGCTTTGTTGTATCTGTTGAATCGCCTCTTGTGTATTCCTACTAGAACAGAGAAATTAGTAGCAAATAAAACAACAATTAAATATTATAGCAATTAAAAACATTAACACACCAACTAAAAACTAAAACCTTTTACTTCCAAATTAACTAAAAATCCAGAAAGAAGTAGACAAAAATTCACTTTTCCAGCAGTGCATCAGTGTTGCCAAAGATGTATGATTCTTTTTACCAAATGAACCACAAATACCATTTTGTCTTTGTTCTGCTGTCCAATGGGGTAAAAATAACTTGTAAGCAGTCTGATGTAACATAGAGCACAAGGGCCTAGGTTATTAGGAATATTTTTAGTGAGGATAGCACATATCCAAATGGCTTATCCAAATGGAAAATAGTCCAAACTGGCACAAGAAACACAAAACTATTCACTATATACACAACACACAAACTTGTATGTATAAGAACACTTTATAAACTTTTTTTATTATCAGGCTCGCATCCTGGACAAAGACGTGGACACTTTCCACACCAACTTAGACTCCTTCATTGCAGGAGTGTTGGAAGCAGATGTAAACTTTCACAGGTATAGTAGTCTATCAAATTATTAGTTTATTACACTTGCATTATCAAGTTTTGGTATTTTGGGTGGTTTTTGTTTTAACAAGTTCCCACTCAAGCATTTAGTCCAAAAAACAGTTGTTTGCCGCCAGCTTAATCAAATGGATTTCATTACTTACAACTGTACTGTAATGAGTTTTAACCAGAAACCAGCAGATTGTATTTGAAAATAAGTGGTTATAAATATTACCTCTGTTAGAGGTTAAGTTATGAGTAGTGGTCCTTTAGTCAGTCGGTGGAAAAATATTAGGATTTGTACCGACTTTTCAATGTTAATTTAGCTTAGAGAAGTATGGGGTAAAATATCGTATGTCACTCGTCCAAAATGTGTTTATCGGACTCATATGGTACCCACACTCGACTTTGCAAGAAAACTACAACACTTGTACGGTAAACACATAATTTTCAGGACTAGTAACGTAATATACTATTACAACGTTTCGAGACCTGCAATTGGCCTAGTTTCTATCCCAGAAAATGGCCGAAGTGATGGCAACAGGAGATATGGAGATGGTCTCTTCCCAAAGGCCACAAAAATAGACAATTATGGCAAAGATAGGTAATTGAATTTTTCTCTATATCTTCCACATTCATTGCTAGGAGTCAGTATACACAGTAGGTACTAACTGAAGATGTCCTATATTAGAAAAAATTATCAGTATTACGTTTTATGACCATTTTAGTACCTAGCCTATCTCCTGGACCAATTTCCTAAGGTAAGCTAGCTGAACATTTTCAAACCAAATTCCTAAAAGGTACATTTTGTGAATTTTAGATTCCTGATTTTTCTCCTGATTTACAGGAGTATCGAGAACGCCAACCGAATCCAGGAAGCGTCGCAGGTGAGGACGCAGGACTTGCGATCCTTCCGGAGCTCCATCAAAGACATCCTGAGTCTTCAACAGGAGATATCCGCTACTATGTGGGAGAACAATGAACTCCTGAACCAGTTCAATGAGTTGACAGCTCCTCTGAAAGAGTTGGACGATGAACGCTAGCAGTCGCTGCTGCTGCAGTGGTACTACTTTGTCCTCCGAGGGCGAAGAACGTGATAAGTCGACAGTGCTGTGATTAGCGACATTTTATATTTAAGACAATTTAGTGTTTTTATCTTCATAACAAAGTGTAAATAATATGTACATCAATGATCATACCACCCTCATATTCAACATGAAATTATCATATTTTATAACATTCACCTGATTATATTAGTGTTAAACTACCTATTATACAATTTTAACTTTTTTGTTAGATGCATTTTTTTAACTAAAACACTTAATTATGATTCATTTTTGTAGCATATAATGCTGTTCCTATTTTATTGTACTCATTAGGTTAATCTCAGTATATGGAATCTTAGTTTAAGCTTTTTTTCCATATTTTGTACCTGTACTTGTGCTTTGAAATTGAATAAACAAGTAGAATGAACAATTATGTTCTTTAGAATCAGATTAGGCATATTTATTTTGATTTTCATATAGCTGTTGTACAGCTTCTTGGATAAAGCAGTTAGATTTTTGAACACTATTTCATCATAAGATTGATAAAATGGGAGTCAAATACTATAGTACAAAGCAATAAAATGTTTAAAATGTTTTGGCAGTTATAACAGGAGAATTTCACTTTTGCTATTTTGGTTATATTGTTCAGAATTTTAGTTTATTTACTATAACTATCACTTTGTCAGGCATTTATTCTGTGCATTATAAAGATTGCATTTTACTAAAATATCTTGAATTTCGACTTGCATATTCTTGCAATTATCTACTTCCTGATTAGGTATACTCTTTTATGTCCAGTGTTTTATTTTTTTTAGAACTTGAGTTAGTTTATTAGATCAAAAAGAGATCAACACTTTTCAACAATCAAGAACCAAACAGTACTGTAATGGTAATATCCTATGTGGGGCTTTCTAACCGTAATGACTGTTGAAAAAATAAAGTGAAATTAAATTAAAGACTTTATCTAAGCAGGCAAAGTAAAGTCAGAGCCAAGTGACCCTTCCTAACAATTTTGTGAAATGGTTAAGACCTATTTCTAGTATCAACATAAAATTCTAAATCTTTTGCTGACATCTTCATTGATGACCTTCTATTTTGCTGGTTGACTCACCCAATATACTGTGAGTTGATATAGGAGGCTTATCTTTTGTTGAAGATTTTGTACTTAACTGATTAGATAAAACTGGTTTCAATAAGCTGCTAGGTGATTGTATTTTCCTTTTATTTACTAAACTGTCATTGAAATAGATAGCTGAAACAAACTAATTACGCTGTAGTTGGTTGTCAATTTTGTTGAATAATTATTTAAATAGACATATCATTTTCCATACAAAGTATATTTTGCTTTTCATTCATTATTATCCCCAAGTAGGTCCCTACTATAGTTCGGCCGCTTAGAAAGCGACCTCCTCCAGCATTGCTAGGTGAGAACATTGGTTTAGCATTAGCGCGCAGGTTGTTTTCTAAGCGGCCGAAATATAGTTTTGAACTTGTTAAACTTTAAATTAATTCTTGCTGTATCCCATATTATTTAGACCCTTAAACTCATTTTTTGTCAAACTGCAGCAAAAACAGCTGTTTTTAATGCATGCGTTGTGAGTCTAAAGTAGCTCTTTTACTCCCTAGATGGAGTAAAAAGCCTTTTTAGGTCCGAGGGAGTAAAAATCAGCTGTTGTAAAGTTCAATTGTATCCAATACATAATACATTTGAAAAATATACTATTAAAATTAATAATATTGAAATTATGTATTGATTGATTTAATCAGTTGTAGCTTATTGTTGCAATACTGTCAATAGTTTGACATGTCAATAATACAATCTACACTAAGAAACACAATTGTAATAAACTAAAGGATTGAATCACTTAATAAAAATCTGCTATTTAAAACAAGTTAAAAGTTGTTTTGAGAGGTTATCTTTACATGGAAAGTATTCTCGTTTTCTAGCTTAGTTTAAATAATGTTGCATTATGACAAAAATTATAGTTCATCACACGGGCAAAAAGTGTCTTTTTCAACCCTCGCTCATTTTCCGACCTCATTTTCTCGCCACGATCGTTAAACTTGCGCTTGGGTAGGAAAGAGTCACTTTACGCCCTAGTGATGACATTACTTTTATTACCCTACCAATATTTAATTTTAGTCTTCCATTTTTTTGTCAGTTAAAAAACTTTACCACTTTAGTGCAAAGCATTTAAAAAAAATATCAGTGTTATTATTGCTAGTATGAATTATAGTATTTTTTTTATCATGAAGTATTTTATGTATCTCAAATGGTGTAAAAAAATAGTTATTCAATTGTTTTTTTTATTTCACAACTAGCGCTTACACATTAGATTCAGATGTAGTTAAAAGTATTTTGATGCTCAATGCGATGTAATTTACAAATTTTGGCAAATACTGTATTTTTGTATTGTAAAGTTAAGTATAAATAATGTATTGTAATATTATAGGCATTATGTATTTTATACTCTCGTTGAATCAGAATAAATTTTTGTGAAATTTTATGTGTGGTTTTACTACTTAAAAGCAACAAAATTAATAAATGACTTAGCGGCCAGATTCTTTTTCAGACGTCACAACAATGTGTGCCCGGGATGTAAATATTTGTAGCCTACCTAAAATATTCTTTTACACATGTATAGTATACTAGCTGTTACGGGGCAAATAACTATTAATAATACTATTGATTGCCATACCAGGTTGGGTGGCATTTCGAAAGGCTTTTGATAGTTACATTTGAATATTGCAGAAACCCCATAACCAATTTTTTTTTGCATTTGTGGGATTTCTGCACCAAACAATGTATTACAGTTTGTACATCATTAATAAACTAAATACCCCCACCGCAGCAAACCTGCAGTCTAAGCTAATTTGCCTGATTTGATTTTCTAATAAATCTATTCAAATAACATAAGGTTTCATGAGTACCTAGGTTTGCTGCCTACAGGAAGGGTAATAAAGTGTGTTGAGTAAAATATTAATAGCTTGGTATAAAATAAATATATTTGCCTAGTTTGATCCAAATATATCCATAAACAAGCAAACTACAACGTTTTACTTATTATCCATAAGAATAACATAGGAATTTTTAATTTACAATTTTCTCCGTACCCAATAACCATACAAAAACATTTAAACATACTAAATTATTTTTTTTTTTTAAGCTCTTCATAATGGTCTACAAAAAATTTACAACATTTTATGTTTTGGGGGTAAAAAACGAAAAAGCCCAGTTTTTACCCCATAAACCTGTTCCCATGATCGGATCATGCTGGTTCGTGAACTCTTTCAAATGAACGTAGGTTTACACGTTTGTATTACCTTTCATCGAAATCGCATATTTTTTCTGTTTAATTGAAACAGCTGTTAAGATTAATTAATTCCTTTTAAATATGAATACTCGTAAGGTTAACATGGGAAGCTCCAGAGCCACTGGGACAGAGCCCAAAAGTCCGGTCAGAACAAAAACTACTTAGTTTTCCTATTTAATGCCTAAAGAATCAGTACCAAATTTCAGCCTCCTAGGTAAATGGGAAGTAGGAGAATCAGTGATGAAAGAATCAGCGTGGGCTTTCCATTTTACTGGTATAGACATTTTAGTATATATTTTAAGTATATGTATTTTAGAATATAATTTTATGTATATGTATTTTAGTATATCATTTTATGTACATTTATTTTAGTATATAATTTTATGTTTAGGTATTTTAGTATATACAGTAGACTCCTTCTTACCCGGACACCTTTTAACCGGACTTCATTTAATGGATATGACATCTCTTTAACCGGACAATTTTTATCAGCACATTGGTTTAACCGGACTAGATCGGCAGGAAGTGGGTGGTACTGAAACGACTATTCTCGTAGGAAAGAATTGAGACCAGGGATCACGTGTCTAAATACAATGTTCTCCTAAATTTAAGTCCAATATCCCAGTAAATGGTCTGTTTTAACGAGTTTTTGGGGACGTCGGTATAACCGGAAAACCTGTTATCCGGACTGGCCTCGGTCCGGATAAGAGGGAGTCTACTGTATTTACTTTTACTAGTGTCAAGTATTACTTGGTGCTAGTAGTGAAATGTACTGTTTATTTTGATAATAAAAGTTTCTAAGATCACTATTAAAGATGTAAGGAAAAATAATCAAAATATATTTCATCGCCTTATTTATTTTATTTACAATAAATCAAATATATACAGGTCTCTTCCATAAATATCTATATAAACATTATCGTTCAGTTTAAATTAAATCTGAAGTAGCACCTTAAATTAATCAAACATCTAACATATATTTTACACACTTAAAGGAATGATAAGATAACTGTTAAAACTTAATTTGAACAAAAAAGTTTAAAAAATATAAGATTTTTGTATATTCCAAATACTACTCTTTACAAGAGTGATAAAAACGAATAGGTACCCAAATGTCTTGCTAGAGTTCGTGCGTTTCCTGGTGAAGCTTGGGGGTAGGGTTGAAGCCCATACAAAACCGGTTTAGAGCCACTCTAACCACCCACCCTCCAGGCTTCACCAGGAAACGCACAAACTCTACCTGATGTCCATTAACTGGTTTTGGCACAAAATAAAATGATTGAAACAAATAACCAGGCCTACTTTGATCAAATATTTTAGGTGATGCTCACTCAAGGAATGTGATGCTTACTTTATGACTGTTGCAATGCATTCACCCTAACAATCATGAAAATAAATAATTCAATGTATTCTTGAAATCAAATTTTACAATGATAAAAGTTATTGTTAAATAATACTGGTAGGCCTACAGTTTTAAATAATATAAAAATATCTTGAAATTATTTAAATTTATTGGAGATGACAAAGAGTCCCAAGACTAGTATGGTCCAAATCTTGATAAAAAGGTTACATAGACTCAAATCAAAATCAAACTCGAAATAGTAAAAACCTTCAAATTTAAAGACAAGCATAATCACAAGAACTCAGCTATCCAAATGTTGTTTAGGTCCACTATAAAAGGTTACAAAAATATTTTTTCATTGACTTAAGACCAATACTACAATTGAAATACTTAAAATGACTTTTAAAATTATAAAACACATTTTTACTTTTAGTTAACCAAACATGAAAATGAATTTACGCCACACTACACTATTTTGACGAACTTCCCATGCAAGGATTTAGTCCAGAAAACAGCTGTTTGCCGCCAGCTTAATCAAATGGGGTTTCATTGCGTACTACTGTACTGCAATGAGTTTTGCCGGACACCAATCAGCTGATTATACTGTATTTGCGTGGCAATGAGTGTTTATAAACAAAAACATAACCTCTCTTAGAGATTACGACTAGTGATTTTTAGTCCTTTAGCTGGTTGTCATATATTAAGATTTGTAAAGATTTAGTAGTAGGGCGTAAACTATCGTACGTAACTCGTCCAAAATGTGTTTACCGTACTCTTATGGTAATCCCGTACTCGACTTCGTCTCGCACGGGAACGACCACACTCGTCCGGTAAACACCTATTTTCAGGACTAGTAACGTAATATACTATACTTTTCCTGCAGGTGTGTAAATATAAATATTACCGGGACCAATACCATGAAGCTCATAGTGCAGTTTGTTTTTCATTATAATAGAACACAGTGTGAATAAGAAAACAATTCAATAAATACATAACAACAAATTACTAACAAATATATATATATATTCTTTGGCAATTGGTACTTATTGTTGGACGGATTACTGTTTATGTAATACTGGGAATACAATGTTGAAACTAAAGTTGTTAAGGAACTAATTCAAACGACTGTAAGAAGACGTACCTAATTCCAGGGTTCATCTGTTATCAGTCAGCAAGACAGCAAAGAAGAATCATCTGTTTTCTGGCCTGGGATGTAAAATTGACCTTCAATGGTATTGTTAAATTCATTGGACGTTTGCATGGGGATTTATATATTTTCTTAACATGCATGCTATTAGTCCTGTACAACCCACTGTACAACTTGCATCTAAGAAAGATTTGACTTGAATGGCAAGGTCATCACAATCTACGCCGTGTTAAACAAGTTTAGAAGATGAATGGAATTAATTTGAATGGAGACATGGGTCTGTGTAATGAATGTGCTCTTGATAAATCTCATCAAGGTCTATTTCATTATGGTAAACTTGTCCTGAGGTGGTTGGTGAACTGATCAGTACAGATGTCTGCGGATCAATGGAGGTCACTTCTTTTGGAGGTAACCGCTATTTTGTACTGAAGACTAATACAATAAGTGTCCCCGTGTGTTATTCATAAAGAACAAAAGTGAAGTAGCTGATTCAAAAAGTGTATATGCATCTTTGTAGGTAAAGCAAAACAAGGTGGAAAGGTCATAAAAGAAATGTTGTTTGACAACAGGTTTGGATTCCTATCAAAGGAAACCACAAAAATCATTAAGGAGTATGGTATCAAGATATGTACAACTTCTACCGACTACCATTATTTTCAAATGGGGTCTCACAGACCCGGGGTTTCGGTTAGCGTCAGCCTGGGTAGTGTTAAAGGTATAAGTGTTAAAGCATTGACCAATAAAATGGTGGAGTAAATCAAGATAAAAGCTCGGTCACCAAAACAATCATCTCCTAGAACAATCCACAAACTCGCCTACTCACTGTCCACGACCAGACTGTCCTGTCCTAGACTACTCGACTCTCGTGGAAAATCCACTATACCCGAGTATGCGACTGATAAGCCGAGTCCAAGGGTGCTGGCTCATTCCGCCGCTTCCGCTGTTGATCTCAACAATGTGTGTGGTAATAGAACAATATCTTACCCCCCTAGGAAAACGGCCCATTACAATATCTTCAGATGCCATCGTCTTCTTTTAAGGCAATACATTGATTTCAATAACACGAAAAACAAACATTTTTTTCAGCAATACCTTCTTAATTTCATTTACATTTGTAGCTAATCTAATATGGTCAACAAGCCATTTCTTCAATCTATACTATATAACTATGACATGTTGGGAATTGCAAACGGTTAGAGTTCATTTTATTTTAAACAGTTTTAGAATGTTCATTTTGAGATGAGCTCCTGTTTAGTAAGTTGTAGGAAAATCTTTTAGTTTAACTGTTGAATCCCTGAGGTTTTTAAAATTTATAAGTTTTGATAGAAAATATAATTTTTCCTAACAAACTCAATTTTTAGCGATGAAAAATAATATTCACCACAGACAAATGTAATTTTCAATGTTAACATTAAATCATCTTTAGGTTTCTGAGATTCAAGTCAAGATTCATCATTGGACCAAATTGTGTTAAGCAGAATTCGTTACCATAGATACATAGGACTTCATTGACAAAATTTTCTTTGGATGTGACAGATTGTTGTTTAAATTAAATCAATTATTTGTTGAAAATGTGTTGGTTGATGCAACATGTTGTTCCCCGAGTGAGCGTGGGATTGATGGCTCTCGTGTCTGCTCACCAGTTCAACGAGCGCAAAAATCAAGAGGAATATTTCATAAGAATGAACAAAATTCACAACCAGGAGGCAAGAAGAAACCCTCATCCTGCCTTAAAACGTTAGCTAAATTTTCTGGACTCATTCTAGTTGAAATTACTACTACAAACCCACAGCATTTTTGAAACAAGTAGTCCATACAAGCAATAAGTACTAATTATCTAAGTACAAAAAAAAACTAAATAACTTGTACTTAGTATCACTAACCAAAACTGCAGTATGGTACTTTAAACAGCTGATCTGTTAAACAAATATTATTAGTTAGGCAATATAACAATAAATTTTTGCAAATCTTATTACAAAAACTATGTTTCTATATTTTTTACTCCTTTTTCTAACATTGCAACACTCCTAGCAGCGATTTTGTGCTGGCGATGTTTTTCTTGAACTTGTACAAAATGTTCGACCAACTGATTGAAGTCTATCGAGTTGTTGGCTTCTTTTTTCACCTCTTTTGGCTTTGATTCTTGTCTGAAAAGTCACATTGTTTTCAGCTTTTCTTAACATTCTTATACCATCCATAACTTTATACAGCAGATACAAAAAGAAAAATGCCAAATGCAAATACCAGAAATGAAACAAAAACCAGTAAACTTCTTCTAAAGCCTTAAGAGAGGATTCTGACGTTTGAAAATTATCAGTGATGTTATATATATATATATTTTAAGAGTTTGGCGGCCTCTTTTAACCATGTATTTGCCCGTCCAAATAGACTACAGATCTGTGCGTGGAAAGTATCCAGCAAAGCATGGGGTAACTGAACTGTGAACTGGGTGAACTGAACTGATAAAATGTTTTCGGCAGTGACCAGGATCCGAACCCATGACATCGCTGCCTTGGGCCCGAAGTCCGTGACGCTACTGACTGAGCTGAGTTAAATGGAGTCTTCAATGAAATCTGTGGCAACACAAAGACGGGGATCATGAAATTGAAGTAGATTTGAAACAGATGACAGAAGCATCAACTTAAAATCTCAAATTGAAGCAGATTTTAGGCAAGCATTGACTGAGATTACAAAAATTGCAACACCATAACTTCTAATAAACCACACCGTCCACAAGAAGCCAACCCAAAACTTGAGTACAAACCTTCCGGTAACACTGCTGATTCTCCTGCGTAAAAAGCTAGTTTCGTTCAACAGTGGTGATTGGGGAGGTTGTAGTGCTTGAGCAGGTGTTGCGACTAAGTTATCTCTAAAAGCCGACAACAAGGGTGTAAAGTGAAACAAGCACATGTTAAAGGAACAGAAAGAAATACCAGAGATAGGTTGTTTTGTAAATAGAGGCTGTATATGCGATGTGTGTATAGCTTCTTAGTTCTCATGTATGCCACAACAAGGCTCCTTCTCACTTACTGGTATTGTCGTGAACAGAACGGCGCCATTAGCATGTCTGTAGCTGTCGTGCTCCCTTTCATGTGTCTAGAAAATGTTTTAAATGATGAAAACTCCTGCCGCATGCGAGATAAGGTCAGTGGTATGTTTTTTACCACAAGAAACATATCCGATGCTGACATTTATCGTCAGATGACTGAAGGTTATGGCCTTAATGCAAAGATAGAATGTTAAGTGCTGTAATGGGTTAGGGAGTTTAAAAAAGGCTGTGTGTCCATTTCAGAATATATTGAATTGTATTTTTGGTCGTGAAGCAGACTTTTTAAAGAATACCACAAAGGAAATTGTTTCCACAGCCTTTTTAAACTCCCTAACCATTTCTGCACTTTACCCTCCTAACTCATTGCATTAGGGGAAAAAAATATCAGTCATCTGGCTATGAATTTCGGCATTGGATATGTTTCTTGCAGTAAAAAACACACTGCCAAGGTGTTTATAAGGTGGAGGTAGGTTTCACTCACCTTATCTGTTATCTCAGGTATAACACAGTAAAGTGAACTTCTCAGCTACATAGCTGCAAATGATGCCGTTCTTTTCATAAATGATGCCTGTAAGCAGGGAGGAACCTTGTTGTTGCATCGTAAACTAAGAAGCACAAACGCCCCTTACTTTAAAAACAACCCTCAACCGTCCTTTGAAAAAGGCCTTGTTTAAATGAATCACAGTTACAGTTTCGCTCTCACTAATCAAACCCTTTAGGCCTAAAACCTAAAATAAACTATGGCTTTTACTATTCAGTATTGGCTTTGAATAATCCACTAAGTTTTTGCTTCAACTTATAAAGATGAAATATTAACCCTAACAGTAAAGATAGGATATTTAAGTTTAGTTCAGTTCTTTAAAAATGGTGGTTAAGCTTAAGCTAAAAAGTGTTAAGGAATGTTGCTCTGGTTACTACTAATGAAAACAGACTCACTGGTGGTACAGCTGTAGTCTGGGAATACAGTCCAGTCTGTGACGTAGTGTATGGAAGGCATCAGCTTGTGGTAACAACATGAGTAGACCATACAGTGCTCGTACAAGGTGTTCATTGTGCGGAGCGTCTAGCAACTCCAGCCTCAGATCTAGCAACATTACAACTTCAAATAAAACCTTTATTATCCACGTTAGAGAATATTATTCATTCCATCAACATAAAGTGAAGCCAGCTAAACCGGCATCTAAAGGTAAAAAATTGTTAGCTTTTCAAGCCATATTAGTACGTTCGGCAGAGTCCAGAGCAATCTACAGGATGGAAGAGTAATTGGCAGAGTAGGTTGCACTCAATGGAATGCTAGAATTTGTATATATTGATAATTTTGTATCACTAATTAGACAAGAGAAAGGAAATTAAACACAGTATACAACCCCCCCCCCTCTAACAATTTTCTATTGGAGCTTTAAATTTAATTTGTGGTATTTTCATAATCCTTGCAACAATGATGTTTTTAGAAGACATCCAGTAATCGAGCACTACTAAATTTCCGATTGTCCCGGATTAGCTAGCATACCGTACTAAGTTAGCACCAGACAGTGGTTTTGCTTCTCCTTATTATAGAAATATTTAAGTATGGTGCTGAATGGTGGGGAATAATACTGTGATAAAATGTGTGACTTCTTCTCTGGCTATGTTATTTTCTGCTCAATTTTTTCTATCATGCATTTTCTTGTAATGGAAAAGTGGTTACAGTGATTACAATTTACTAGTGCACCTGTTGCTCGAATTCGAACAATTGCTGAATATTAAAGGCGTTTTTTTTTTATGAATAACAGTCACAATTTCCGTTGACTTAGAAGAGTCAACTCAAAGATATCAATCACTCCACTCCAGTTATCGAAACCAAAAACGAACTCAATCTGAAAACGAACACTCTTGTTTGTATCATATGTGTTTACTATGAACAGCTGCAATTAATACAAATTATTCTTCTGTTTAAGTAAACAAATCTTTTCTTCATAAGAAATACGTTGGGATTTTGATGGCCTGTGGGGCAAAGCCCGAAGACTTTTATTACAGGAATTTGTGAAAGGGGGCGTTTACACAAAAAATACTTAATTTTGACACCTCGTTAGTAAAAATCTATCAATTATTAACGGAGGAGTAGTGTTTTGTAGAAATCGCCTTCACGTATTATATATAAGGATTTTTATCGCCGGGGGAAAAGTATCAAGGAAACTAAGTACCACTGTAATTTGACTCTCCTACAGTAACAAAATAGGAAATTAACAAAAATTCTTATTCACGCAAACATTCAGGAAATAACTAATGGTACTGTTGTCAAATAAAAATAAAAATAAGGTTAAAACTTAAAATGGACTTCTGGTTCAAATTATATCTATTGACCATCCCAAATCAATAAAGATATACATACAGACTTACATGTAAATATCGGCGATTCTAGAAGTTGTATTAACCTGTCAACTTCTTTCAACAAGTCCACAGTGATTTCAAGGTTTCCACTGAAATAAGGCTAAGGACTGTAAATATTTCAGTTTTGCTATTTTAATGAAACTGTAAATGATCAACAAAAAAGGAAAGTAAGAGTAACACTCTCTTTAATCTAATCTGAAGAAGTCCTATAATAGGACAAAATTTGTTTTGTTTTTTTGCCTTTTATTGTCTTATTGTGTATCTACTGTTCCCCGGACTCAAATTTTCTTAGATTAGCTATCTGAACTATTACTCTTTAAAAAATCACGTTGTCATTGTTCTATTGGGTTAAATAAATGTCTGAATAAACTTGTATGACCCTTGGATTAATTATTAGCTGTATCAGAATACTTAATGTGACAATGTAACCTATTTCATGGATTGTTTTTTTCACAAACATTATGTATTGGCATTAGTAATACAATGTATGTTGACTTCAATAGAAGAATTATTATTATTATTTAAGATAGGGAAGGATACAATATCCTGATGAGTTCGCAGACGTGAGCATAGTTCTGCGTCAACAGACACAGAGCGATGGTAGCCACAGGGTTGTGACACCAACACTTGTACAGACTCAGGAACAGATATCGGCTCTCCTACGCAGAACACTTGGTGTCAAAGATTGAAAATAGTTGGAGGTGTCTGTAAATTAAGATCTCCATCTTCCATCAAGGCCCAGCAAATTAGTTCAAATCTGAGGCCATATTGTTTACTTCTGTACTACATTACTATTCTAGGTGGTTCCCACTATTAATCATAGTAGCCATAAACTATTAATGTTTATGATACTTTACTTGGTAGGCTGTTCAACAGCCGTATTTGAGGCAATAACCAACTTTAGGAGAATTTTGCATGTGGATCGCTGTGTGAAGACAAAAACTTGCCTTACTGATAAGGGATGCTTCAAAGATTATAAATCTTGGTAGTTTTAAACACACTGATAAGTGAAGTAAGTTTCCTTAATTTTGATCACTGTCTTGATGGAAGCTAATGAACACTCACTACCAGCCCTGTGCTTATATGACTTCTGCGAGCTGCCTTATGCACATTTCCTATTTCTAAACACATTACACTCCTGTCAACCAGCAACGGTTTTTTAGTAGGGTTTGACCCCCCTATGTAGTAAAGAACACGGTGTCAGTCTCAGATTATAACAAGCCGGTTTGGCCGTGACAGGAGAATAGTGGAAACTTTAATTACAAACAGCCCTCGTAAATTAGCATTGTGTCAATAATGTGATAAAGGGTAACAGATTATCAAAAACATATTATACAGTAAGGGAAAATTGAAAATTTTTTGGACCACTGGAAGTAATACAAGACTTAACCTAAAAGATTTAAGCAAATTTTTGATTTCAGTTGTATCTACGTCTTGGACTAATGAAAATAGCCTAGTAGGTACTCAAAAATTAACCCATTGGCTTATTAAATGTTTTGGTTTTAAACTTAATGTTATATATATTGCTTATTGCCAAAACTTTAAACAATAGCTAGCAGTCAACAGTTTGTATCACAGTCATATAAGACATATGAAGCAGCTCCCCCTCACATATTACTTTAGTATTAGTACCAATCACATATAGTTTTTTAGCAATTAAATAACCATTACTAATTATTAGTCCAATAATTTCATTTATCAATCACATTATTGTTGTTAGAGTAAAATTAAAACCCTCACCTCACTCTTGAGGTCTTTCAACTGTGACCGCAGCTCAAACAGTTCCGATGACGTCAGCAATATCATGTTGAGTGTCTCGATCATGATACTGGCGAACTTTAGGTTCTCTTCAGTCATCAGGATCTGAGCCAGCGTCAGATAGATGTCCTTGGAGTTCAACAGGACACACAGCTGTCTGGGACAACATCAATGTTAAATATAACAAATAAAACATTCCTTACGGTTGATGTAAGTGATGCGTCACAATATTGCACTAACCATATTTCAAGTAAAGATTCAGATTAGCGGAGAGGTTGAAAAGCTTGCCTCCGCCCTGAGAAAAGTGTCGGTGGCGTCGTCCCGTAATCCGGCTACTAGGAGGTCACAAATTGTGGATATTTATAGAGAGGCACTGATGCGATACTCCAAGGTGCGGATTAACGTCCGCACTAGTGAGTACTACGACTATCCGCAGTACTATCCTGATAATTAGACCAATTCGTTAATACCAAGGCAAGAATGTGGTTTGGATTACACTATAAAACTGCAGGTCCCTTAGTTGCCATTAGCTGTTAGTGCTATTAATTAACAGCTGTGTCTAAGGAATATGTCGGCCTTAGTCACTAACAAGACTACAAGATCGCACTACTCATCTTATACACTCATCCTTCACTCATATTTGGGTTAAAATACACACATAGTGGCGTCCCCATCTTAAATTGATAATTGATAATTGAAAGTCAGTAGCTTTTTGATGATTTTAACCTGAACCCAGCTGTTTTTATGAAGGCTTGTCTAACAAAGTTTATTACCTGATTATAAAAGAGCCTCGGTCCTCAAGCAGGTGTTTATCACAACTAAACTGTTTAAGCAGACTCGTGATGAACTTGGTGAAGTAAGGGTTCATCAGCTGTTTGCTCTCACCGTGGTCTTCTGAAAGAACAAGAAGAAATTACTGAAGTAAGACACATGTGTTTATAATAGGGATGGGCCGATTCCGATTCTCGATACCAAGATGAAAAAGGTCGGACAAAATATAACTGAAATATAACGTTTTTGGTGTAAAAATAAGGCAAAGTTAGTCGGGGAACACTTAATTTTGCCTGATCTCAAAACTAAAAAACTTTCTATTCAGTTATTTGTCGTCCGATATTTTTGATCTTGGTATCGTTTGATAAGGAGTTAAAAAGGCTAAAAAAAGTATCCTTGACATTTTTTCATAGAATTAGACGTTAAACATTCAAACGGCCGCCATTTTGAAATTTACAATCGGACCAACTTAATTATTTTGTCTATAATATGTCTTGTGTATGTTAACATGCTTACCAAATTTCATTATCATCGAATTAAAAACTTCACACAAAAAATAAAAAAAAAATATAAAAAAATGGCGGATATCTGGGTTTATGCATTTTCGGACATACCTTCTCATAAACTTTTTTCTTCCTTTTAGTATGAGGATTCATTTCCCAAAGTTCTAAAACGTTTTTATGGACACCCTGTACATGTACTGCATTTCAGTTGTTGTGGACGTAGTTTTACAAGAACCCATCAGATAGCAGCACTGAACAGTAGGCTCTCAGTATTGCAAAATGGAGGGAAAAAGTAGGGACGAAAAATCCGGATACACCATAAAGAAATATTGCAAAAAGGCGTCAAGCAAATTTTTGAGGTTAGGTTCCTTCCATAGTACTTTACTGCAGTAATTATTATCATTATTCCATTCCATTTCACTAAATCCAAGCCAAAACCTCACACTACACTGAATTTGAAACAATCCCTTCCACCAATAAAATAGTCGTATCTGAAAACGTGAAAACAAATTATACTGGATTAAAGTATAAAACTAGCACAACAAGCGGCAAGCGGAAACAACGTTCCTCGTGCAAGGCTGAGCTCACACTGAAGCAAGATTGTTGTTATGCAAGAAGGATGACATTTCCCGCCCTGCGCAAGTGGTGCCAGTACAGCGGGACGAGAATTCCACTAGCTCTGAACCTTGACTTAACTACCTTGAAGAAGTGCAGGTAACTCTCTAACACTTTCTCTACACCTGACAAAGTGTCCCAGGGGTGAAATATTGTGTGTTCAGTATGATACATTATGGTCTACTTGCAGTTTTTTACCGTAAGCTAGCTGCTAGCTGATATCCACCTTATTCTAAGTGAGCATAAGGTTTATTTTTGATCTTGTCTCCATTCATTGACCACATACTTTACCTAAAATTTATCACAGCTAAAATACATAGATTCAACAAAAAGACCAAAATAAAAGTAAATACCTGCTAGTTTATTGTCAGTCGGATGCCTTGACATTACCTCTGCCAAAACTTCTAGGTCGTTCTGAACCACTTCGTCTGATGAATCGCTCAATACCTTCAGCAGGATGGGGAACAATTCATCTACGTGACACATCATCTATAACACACATTGACTTAGTTGTAAAGTATGTGGAAAAATCATTAGTTCATTTGACAAGTTTAGAACTACTACGCTTAGCTTCGGGTTGACCAAGGTTGAAGTAAATAACTCCAAAGGTCAATTAAAAGGGGCAATCCCTAAATATGTAAAAGAATAAAGTGCTATTCATTTGGAATTATATTCATTATTCCCAAGTTGTGCGTGCATTATTTATAAAACAAACTACACTTATCTCTTTTTTCCTAAGTATTGACAATAGAAAAGTCACAAATAAACCCAAAACACGTTAAAGTAAAATACTTTCCGACGAGGTGACTGCGGGATGAGCCGACGGTCACGCCGCGAGCCTTGGGCATGTTGACAATGGTGCCGTGATCGCGGGAGATGTTCAAGATGACGCCATACCCAGGAACGTCGGATAATTCAGAAGGTCGGATAACCGAGACTCTACTGTAATAGTAATAGCTATTTACCTTACAAGTGTAGTAAGAGCGTTTTTACATCACGCAGGTGAATGTTGTGCAACGAGCGGAGGTTGCAATATACAGGAGGTTACGAACAATATTTTTCATTATCCATTTCACTCATCTTCTAACAGTAACGGTGAGGTTCATTTACAAACAAAAGCTAGGTTAGGAAAATTCTTCAAAACATAACAATAAAATTCAAGCGCACAGCTGATTTCTAGCGTTGAACGTCGTTGGCTCCATAGAGGTATATTTTTTAAGTTAATCACTCAATGTTATTTAAATGGGTTTCATTACATCACCGAGTGAGTTTTTTTCAACTTTACATCACTCGAGAAGTAACGAAGTTATATACATCACGCTTGGGATAGGGAAGTTTAACATGGCGGGTTAGGTAAAAGTATTAACTCACCCTGTGAGGCAACTTAGTGTGTAGATGATAGATCCACCGCAGCACTGCCACCTTGGTCTGTACAGAGTTGTGGAGCAGCTGTCTGGTCAAAACATTGACTACGGACGGCAGATCAAGTTGCGAGTCCATCCCACTGTCTCCTTCCGTCTACGACAAGAGTCAATAAGTCAGTTTTTAAAATGTAGAGTGTAATAGTTGAGTTTCTCTTACAAATTAGCATCAACTATCCTGATTTTGGTTATGGTCATTCATTGTACAATTTATTGGTTTTGGAATTGATTGTAAACAAAACATGATATAGTAGCTTTCAATGTGTTAAATTTCAGTGTTCTTAAATTAAGTTCAGGTATAGTAATTTGGAGCATCCATCATACCTCCTGAAAATAAAAATGCGTCCCCATTATGATCTGCTTTCCTCCCTTCCCACAAATTGTAATTCCAAACCCAGTAAAAACCCACACTTAAATATCAACCGAATAAACATTTTTGCGATATAAGTTATTATATGGCGATATTGGATCTCTTTCACGATATCATGAAAGTAAGTTATAAACCTTATTGCCATCGGTTCAGGACGACCAACTTAGTATTTACATACGTACCTTAACTTCTACGGGTTCAGGTACAAAGTCATCTTCTAAGGATATCAACTTCATGAGGCTGTAGTTAACTGCCTTTGCTGTATCCTTGATATCTGTGTCGACAGTAGTTATGGAATAATATCAACAATTGTTTGGTTACGTACAAAAAGCACCATCACTAAATAGAGTTTTTATCTTTATGGTTCAAATGAAGCAAAACTTAAAAAAATTATAATTTTTGAACAGTTTATATACCTAGTACCTGGAACACTGTCTTAACAATAAGGAGACAAATTTTAACTTCAAAGTCATCCACAATCTGTGGTTTATCAGCATTTAAAAAGTGATTGATTGCTACCCCTAACACAGCCCTAAAGAAGATACATTGGTGTGAAATATATAGCTTTAAAGGCTAGTTCATAGATCCTTACGTAGCAAAGCGCTAAATTTTTGCTTGAAAACAAGGGTGTCCCAATATTCAAAAGTTTCAATAGTTGAACAATTGTTATTTGATTTTGGCTTGATATTTATGGGTACATCCGAGGATTCAAATAGTTAGTAAGCCGAGGAATAAATTCCTAATGACTAAAAAAAATAGTAATTTTAATTGTGTTGTTTTATTTCATCCTTGAACCTGATTTGAACCCAGAGCTGTAAACTTGTTCCATTTGTCACTACAGTACACGGGGCCCAAAATTTATAATAAACTGCAACTAAGTATCAAACAAATTCAATCATTAACCAAATTCAAAACCCATTTAAAACCGTGGCTATTTGAGAAGGCATTCTATTTAATAGCTTGTTAAGCTGATATGCTATAAGTGGAAAGGATACTTTTCCTGGCGTCTGTGTCGAAAGCCAAGCAAGGCAGGATGGCCATCATGATACCAGATGTGAACGGAAGCATCTCTTTGCCAGCGAGCTGCACAAACTCCTTGATCCAAGTGATGGCGGTGAACTGAGAATTGAAACCAAACATTCAATCAAAAATCAAAATACTTTTTAATCCAAACATAAATACAGATCACAAAATGCTACAGTAATAGGTTTAGTCTGGTTTCAGAAAATGTAGGGTTAAAAGTACAGTTGTAACTGTAACTATTACTGTAACTGTGGAAAAATCGGAACTTTCCAAAAATTTAAATGAGACAAATTATGATTAACATAAAAGGCTCGAACATGGATGAGTAACACTTTTGAGTGCTGGGAAACATATTCTGCCAATTTAAAGGTCTACTAGTTATCGAAACGGTATGTGGAAGTAGATTCTCCCTCTGACAAGAGGTTTTCAACTGCAAGGAAGCAAGTACTTGCAGCATATTTAGGCTGCAGTCTTAGCGGAACTTGGGCATTTAACTTAGCCTCTTCGCTATTTAGGGGGTGTATTTTAAAGGAGGGTCCAGTTTTCACTTTGGATCCAAATTTATACAAGATATCCCATTTACAGAGGGATCTGCATCAAACACTACAGGATGACTTACACAAAGATTGCTAGTATTCCTTGTGGGCTCAAATAAAAATAAATATAACATCGGCAACTGGGAGTACCCCAATCAACGGTGGACTAGTACATGTGATTAATCTTAACTCAAGTGGTAGTTGGACTATTCAGTTACCACAATCGAATAGCTAGTTTGAAGAATCACAAGACTAAGCCTTCTGCTCACTAAGCAGACGAACACACTTGTTTAATTCCGAAGTAGGTTACCTGTACAAGATCATCAGTGGCTTGTGAGTGGCTGATGAGAATGTTGATCATTCCAGCAAAATCTACTCTTCCAGGGTCTTGCTTAATGCTCCTCAGGAACTCGCTCAGAACGTTTTCACACCTGACAAGAAAAAATAGGCCGAAGTTAAAAGGTGTTTTAAATGTAAATTTATATTTCTGGTGGCAGTCATGTAGTTTGGACGATAATCGCAGGGCCAAGGTAATAATTTTATTTCTAACTATAGTTCTGAAAAGCCTAAGGTGAATAAAAAGTGGATTATATGTTTTAAGCCAGGTGCAGTAGCTGGTACTTCTGTTGAAAGATTTCTCACAAATGGGCCCTTTGTGAAATAACAACAATTCATTTTCTGACTATAAATCCAAACAAAACAATGCAATTTTGTGGTTTGTCCAAAAATTTCTGTTATTTTATAAAATTTCACCTAAATTGGTAAATGTTTACTTTCTAATTTGCGACGATCAAATATGTAAACGTGAATAAAATGTGTAAGCGTTGTCCAATCTGAATTCAATTTGGTATAAATTAACAGAAGTTCAAGTTGTATTTTTAATACTAAAGAAAGTTAAAGAAATATTAAAATTGTTGCTGTTGGGCTCCGTAGTCCTCTTTAGTGTGAACTTAATCGAGCGGCAGTAACATGGGCTGCCTCACCAGTGATAAATACTGAACTTAGGACACCGACCCAACTCTTTAAGCTACGGTACCAGGTTAAAGCTCTTTAAGCTCTATAGGCTGTCCAAAACTATAATAGAGTTTTATTTCTCATGATGACATATTCTATTGAGACATTTTATCTTCTGATTTGTAGCTCAGGTATAAAATTTAAATCAAATCTTATGTCCTGACCTCATACATCCACTCGTACAATACGAGAAGTAAACAGGATGTAAATGTACCCTTTGTTAGGCTTAAGAAACGATGACATTGTAAGCCTTAAACTATTTAATATGTTCTCTTGTACAGCCCGGAACCTTCCAAGTAAACAATTCAAAAGGGGCGTGGAATGTCTCCTCCTGGCCAACCCAATTGAAAGTATCTATTTTTTTAAATTGAAAAAAGAATATGTAAGTACTTTTTTTACTATTATGTTTTCAACATGTTTAGCCCCTGAATCACGTAATTTACTAATAAAAGGTTAAATACCTGTAGTACTTGTCCGTGATCCTGTGTTATGTTTTGCCGAGTGTGCTGTTTGGTTTTTCACTCTTTGCATAGCGAGTTTCAGGACTTTTTCATTTTTCACCTGACACATTATGTATTTCTTTTTTTTTTTTGTATTATATGATGTTGAAGGAATTGTTTTATTTATCAAATCTTTAATGTATATTTCAAAATGTACTAGAATTACTGACGTTTTCCAATGACTTTGTACTTAAAGTTCTAAAGGAAATAAATTGATCTTATGTCTTACAATCCTACACACAGTGACACATGTACAGTTTAACCCAAAAGTCTTCCACAGTAAACTTGTTTGTTAATTAGTAACCTAGTTAGAGATCATTTAAGTTGCATTGAATATCCTTATGATTTGGATTATTTGATTTTGGAAATGAGTGATGGCTTATATTTCCAGAGAGAAACATAATTTTAGGAGGTTTAGAACCCCCCCCCCCCTCAAAAATCATACCATCATCTAGATAAATATTTAACAGTAAACCTACAGACTGATTTTTTTTGTTTTTTATTAAATTTTCATTTAAACAGCTGACTAACAAATAAAACTCATATCAATGTTAAGTCTGGAAAGTAGCGTACTGGTACGTTGACTTACATTTTCTTGATTTCCAATGTCGGATCAGCAAGGATGACGAAAAGACCGTCCAGAATCTCAGGAAGGAAAATTATGAGGTCTATGTCAGGCACGGCGTCCAAGACGGATATCCAAGATATTATGAACTGTCGTGCAAAAGTGTTCTTGGTTCTAATCCTATCACGAAGCGATGGCATGAATCCGACCAGATCAAAAGTGGCACTCTCCGTCACTATGTCCTGAAAATATCATTGAATAATGTAATAGAAAACACCCTTGTCATAGCAAGCCTGCAGACTAAGCGAACTCCCATTTGCCTGAGTGGATTTTCACTAAAATATTCCAAAAATTGTCAGATTCATTCCTTGCAAACTACAGCAGTTTAGGCCTAATTATTCTCCTCTACTTATAAGCTCCACAAGATGATAGTTTATCAATATGGTGGTAGGCAATTGAATGGTGACTTGTCAATAGTGTCTTATTAAAAATTTTTCCACACAACTTGATTTACAACTTTAGTTAAATTTTAAAACTTTAATGATTCTAGCTCTCTCAAGTTTTGTACATAAAAATTGGTCAATATGATTACAAAAATACACATTGGTTTCACTTAAATAGACCAAATTTTAAAACAGCCTATTAGAAAAGTTTTTCAACATTTAAATGTTTATAGTCTCATCCTCATGCTAGTTCATGACTTTTGAATATTTATTAAATAAAGGTTTTGAATACACATTTGATAAATACTTTATCTCTACCTGCATTGGACACACCACAAATTCAGTTTGTGGCTTTATTAGGGTAAGGAAAAAACTTTAAAAATAACACACGGCAAAAATAACCTGAGTTTTTTTTATTATAATGTTTGTTGTTGGAACATGCTTCACAGATGGGAAATGAGTATTTTCCAGAGTATTTCCTTGCACAATAAATCTACACAAACTTTATACTCTACACACACAATAATAGTTCTTCCTATCCTAGTGTGTTACATTAGAACCCCAAACCTAGCTTGGTAGAAAAAAATCTCATTGACATTGAAACGATCTGACTGAATATAGTGAATAGTTTTGATAATTTAAAAACTATGTAAAACTAAGCGATTGACTAGTAATGTCTTGAAAAGTGAAAAAAATCAGCTAGATAATTAGAGAAAATCAGAGTCCAGGGGAGTCAAGACTAAACTCTTATTTTGAATGATGGGAAGGGGCGGACTCCATGTTCCACAGCTTATTGGACTCTGACTCCGATGTATATTCTGTGAAGAAGTCCTACAGGTACGCTTGACAAAATACCAGTGTTGTTTTGTATCTATCAGTTACAGGGCTATAATTTTCTGAGGTCAACTTGACCCCTTCCCTCAAAACTATTAACTAGACAATAGATTTTGTGTATCTTGTGCTTGTTTAAAAAGTCTGCTTACCCAAGAAGCTTAAATCCTTAAAAAAAATTCTATCCGTCACCAACCTTCATCAGCCTGTCCAAAAGTTCTGAGCCGTTTTTGACATTTTGGTCAGGGTCTGCGGCTAGGTTGGCTAGAGCGTTGAATATTTCAACAAAATGTGGCAACACAGCTCCTCTAGCGACTTTGACGACGTTGTAGAGACTTTCACAAGCGTAGTAGCGCACTCGGAGATCAGAGTGATTGAAGTTGGCCAAGATTGGTCTTATGAGACCTTCTGTGTACTCCGATGTATCCTGTAAATGTTATTGGGAGGGTAATTTCTTTAATAAGGGTCATTTGTGCATATAGCTTCTTAGTTCGAGTGTACAATACGAGGCTCCTTGCCGCTTACTGGCATCATTTGTGAACAGAATGACATTTGCAGCCCCTGTGTATACTTTGCTGTTCCTAGAAAATTGTTAAAATAATAGTATCTCCTGCCGCATGGACAATAAAGTCAGTGAATATGTTTTTGGCTATGAAAATGGAAATTTCCGAAGGAATTGTGTTTTTTGTGAATGCCTGGACTTCTCACCACAAAGAAAAGCCAGTAAAACCACAAAGAGAGTCAAGTCAAGTCAAATCATCTTTATTCACAATATGCACAGAGGGGGTCCATATAAGAGGTTTCCATCATTTTAAACACTCAGCGAAGCGTACTTAGCTACACAGCTGCTAATGACACCATTCTGTTTAAAAATGATGCCAGTAAGTGTTGAGGAGTCTCGTTGCAAACTACAGTCATATGTAAAACAGCCCAAACTTAAAAAACCACCCTCTTAAAACTAATACCTAATCAAAAAACTTTTAAGTTGTTCATCTTTTAGCGAATTTCCTATATAAGGAAAGCTATTTCACCCCATCGAAAGATAATAGGCCTAACTGAATTTTTTTATAGTATGAATCTATACAAAACATTGTTCTTAAGTAACTTACAATCAAATACGGTACGTTAATTAATTGTTAGCCTATGTAGCTTATATAGATAAGCTTACCTTTCCCAGCGCAACAGCCATTGCTGCAAGACCTATGAGACCACCTTTTCTCGAGTGAGGATTATTTTGCGAGTTTGCAAAGTCTTGGCCCAGTACTTTCAACAACCTCCGAATCTCCGCTGGTCTGTTCTTCGTTACCATGTCTTTCACCATCCTGAGTAATGTAAATAAGATAGTAATATAAATCCTCATTAATCTTGTCTCTGTTTTATTAACTTAAGTGGTTATTAGAAAATCACAAAATCCACAAACTAGTTACTAGATTCAATTTTAACAAATGTTTGCAATTCCTAAGACATCTTCAACGACCAAGGTTCAATCACTTGATGGCAAATATCTTTTTTTGTTTAAGGGTATCAAGGGGAGAGCTTTAGACTAGTTTAAATCGTATTAAAATAACAGACAAATAACTAGAAAACTATTCGCAATATGTAGAAATAACTATTGTCAAAAACAAAATTAAGGTAAATTTTACGTAATCATTGAAAAATTTAAAATATGGAGTGACACAAGGATCAGTCCTGGGACCACTGTTGTTCATATGTTATAGAGTACTAAGGGTTTACCAGATTTATTAGATGATGCTGAAGCCTATTTGCTGATGACATTAGATTACTTGTATCTGGTAATACCCATAAAAAAGTAGAGTCAATAGCAAATAACCAATTTCCATGTGTAAATACTTTTTTAAGAATTTAAATCTCATAGGAAATATAAATAAGACAAAGTGCATATTTTCTCCACATATCAGAGTAATAAACAAGTTCAACACAGAATTTTGATAATAGCAAAATGTATAGAACTGCAAAATTTTCAATTCCTAGGATTCGTATTGGACAAAAATTTAAATTGGAACATTCATATTGGACTGTAAAATTTCATCAAGGATGTTTGCTCTGGGGAAAATGTAAAAATTACTGTATGTCCTTTGAAAACATTAAAATAATATTTAAGTTTTTAACCCCCACATCTCTTTTGGCATAATTTTATATGGAGCTCAAGAAAATTTGGAACAAATATTTTCATTTAAAAAACAAGCACTTTGTAGCCTATCATGTTAATACATTCAAGATTGGAGAACTTCAATGAAAGAACAATTTTCAAAACTTGGTACTCTTACTGTTTTTTTCCCAATGTAGGTATCTTTGATGTACCGGTAATCTTGTTCGTAAATAATAATTTACCAAAATTCGAGACCTTGGGTTCATGCCACAGCTATGGGACAAGGCACAAATATAAAACCAGTTTTTCAAATCACAACTTAAAATTAGTTGATAAAAACCTTCATTTGCTGGGATTAAGTTTTATAAACTTCTGTCTGATAATCTTTTACAAATAACAGACAAAAATAAATTTTAAAAAACAACTAAAAGCTTTCATGTTGTCCAAGCCCGTTTATTCCCTAGATGAATTTGTTGGGGTCGACTGTGTTGTAAATTTGTAGGTTATCAGTTGTTGTATTTTTGTTTAGCCTTTTTATATATGGATATTTTTAACAATATAATTTAATTGTATAGGGTTTAACCATTCTGGTGCAACATGTTGTACTCTTGAATAAAGATTTTGTGACGATGACTATGACTAGGTGTTTCAAAAGGAAAATAATAATAGTGGTTCATTTTTAAAAAAGCCTAATGCTTTTACCGGTATTCATTTTTTAACTAGTACTGTAATTTGATAATATTTAACTTTTAACGAATTTCATATAGGCCAAGAGAAGAAGCTATTGCCTTAGGGGGAAGGGTAAGATCTTGACCCGAGACTGATTTGATTTTTCATTGTGATGCCCCCAGTGGTCAAAAACATTTTCTGTTAAAAGTTGCATATAGGCTAGGCCTATATGTATATAGGCCTAAAATATACCGTAGGCCTACACGATATCCCAGAACTCGCACTGTGTTGGGTGCTTGGTAGATTTGGAGGGAAGAAAGGGTGCCAAGCCGTGCCATGCGTGCAGTTAAAGCACAAGTACTTTATCGATAGGCCTACACGATCTATCGATTCAATTAGTAAGCCTTCATTAGATTTTTTTCACTATCAGCAAGTAAATTATGGTTAGTTAGGTTGGTAGTTGAAAATATCGATTAATGATCAATATTTTCAATCGATATTAGTGTAGCCTAGTTAAGAAACTGTACACGATAGGGGTTTAGGCTACATTTGAAAATTTCAACTTACCCCCAAACTACCCCTTTTGGAGTGATGGGGTGAAAGAAAAATTAAGTGGTAGGCCTACACCAAAAACTTCTTTTTTATCTATAAACATTCCCTGATTAGGTATTATAATTCTAGCTCTAGGTATTAATGAAAAAAAATAATGGGGGTGGAACTTTTGAGACACGCAGTATGTAGATAAGCAGAAATGCGTGAAAATAATCTTCTGACAAAAGAAACGTCATTTTTATAAATTATAAACAACAGGTTTTATTCATAACCTCTAAATTACTCACTTCTCAATTTCTAACGCTGCAGCCTTCCTTTTGTCGTACAATTTATCATTTAATGCTCTGACACAAGCAGGACTAAGAGGTGCGTAGTCTCTCTCCGACATTTTCAATCAGATTATAGACAAAATTGTCACTTTAGATTGAAAATAAACACACTTCGGAAATTGTAGCTGTGGCTGTGACAGTGACAGAGAGCGAGACAGCTGAAACAGCTGAGAGACGGTGACACTGGTGACAGTTCGTTCATCCATTTGGATTTGTTCCCTTCTAGTTCTAGTTTGCATGCTTCGGTTCAATAGACCAGACAGCCTCAATGTATATATGTTTTTAATTTGGGTATTGATTATAAGAAATACTAAGCACTCATTAATTTTTGGAGACGAAGGTTTGAAGCTGTTTACTATTTTTAAAGTTATTGTGGTACAGCTTTCATGCTCAAAAATAATTTTAAATAACCAATGAAATAAAATAGCTTCGTAAAAGACATTAATGTGTCTAACCTAAATAACAGCTTGCATGGATAAACCTCACTGTGACGACCAGCCCCTTCTGTCATTGACTGGGGGTATAATCAATGCTACTGTTGATCACGCCGACTAGAAGGTAAAAACTGGCTCAAATTGTTATTTGATTTGTTGATGCAGCATGCAATCGCCGATTACTTTTCTACCAAAGAACAGCTAGCAGGGCATCTATCGGGATAATCTTAATCTTATTGTGGTCGCCGTTGGTGAGCACCTATGAGGAAATCCTCCTGGGTGAGCACACTGACGACTGACGAGAGTTGTGGGATGAGGGGATGAGGTCGGCCAGCTTCGCTGCCTAAAGGCGGCAGATAATTGAATACGTCCCTGATTTCATATGTTCGAGGAAGATAAAATCTATGTTTAACTTTGATATTTGAGGAAAAAATTCTGTTTCTTTAGAAGACACTTTCTTACGTCAAAGGGAGATACACCCTTGAGCTGTGTAAGTTTGATTTTGACTTCTTCACGTTGGTCATCAGCATTACTTCTGTGCCAATAAATAATTAATTAATCTCTAACATAATGTTGATCAATTTAGCGGTGTTGCTGTTTTATAGGCTCATCTACAGATCAAGACCTTTCTTTAGACACCTCTACCGAGTTTCTACGCCCAGCTGTTCTCTCAAATTAGTGGAGACAAAGAAAAACAGTTTCAAATTAATAATATTCATGTATGGAATGTAAACAAATCATCCATAACGGATAACATGGGAACTTTAAATAGAGGTTGATTTTGGAACCTCCAAGCCAATTCCTGTGATTTATGGCATGTAGTTTTTGAGGTATAGTGATCTGTGAGTGGTATTTGACTTTTAAGTTTCTAGATTATTAAGTAGGGTAACATCATTTGGAGCTCAGAGGGGTAAGTTTATTACACGGCCACCTTACGTTAATTTGTATTTGTTACACCATATCATAAAAAATGGATTCAATAAAATAAAGAACAGGAAGAAAAAATAACTATAAGAAAATATAAGAATAAGATGGAATAATTAAATAAAGAATACAAACTCTGCTTATTATAGACAATATTTATGTACACAAAGTTTAGTGATAAAATACAATTGGTACTACCTATGAAAGCTTAGTAAGTACTGTAAACAAAATATTTCACCTCTAACACACACTTGGAAGAAATTAAACAAATAAAAATAATAAACTAACTAAATGCTAAACTGAGGCCTGATAATGAGCAACAACAAACATATATAACTATTTGTTGGTTGTTGGCAATATAATAATCTAAGTACCGGTAGTAAACCTTAATTTTACACAATTCTTTATGTAACTAGCTACATTCTCTACCAACAGGCACAACATACTTTAAAAATGCATCAGAATACAGCAAAATGATCCTGAATACCACATTTGCCATACAACGATGGTAAAACGTCAAACTCTTAAGTTGATATTTTATTAACATAATAACAATTAATAATTCATTAATTAATAACTTTTATGGTGTACCTGTTGCTCAAAATCGAGCAAGTTTTAAGTACTGGTAATATACAGGAGTTATTTGAAAACTTATAACAGTCATAATTTTCAATGAGTTTAAAAGAATCAACTATAAACTTATGTTTTTTTAGCGTTTTCTACAAAAATTTCCCAGTTGCTCGAATTACTTGAATAGCTGAAACCAGAAACATTTCTTGCATGTATTCATTTGATCTGACATTAGGCAAGTTTACTTTACCACCGTAACAAAATGATGTGCATATTCTTCGTGTATTTTCCCCTTCCAAAGTAATTTGCATAACAGAACTGGCAAAATATTATTATCTGTCCAGTGAGTGTGTTCTAAAAAAACACACACCAGCCAGTGTGCTAGTGTGCTCTGGATTCCTTTACTGTTAGACCAGGCCTCAATCTCATGAGCAGATGAGCACAAGTCTCCTCCTCCTGTTTTCAATAAATCTTCTTTGAACTCGACTCGAGGCATTTTCTGTTCTTCCAACAAAACTGATTAACTGTTTACGGTACATTGGTCTATACATTTGGTCTATCAATATTTAGGTACTTCCAAAAAAGTTGCAGAGTTTCTTTTTGTTCACAGTTTTTTTAGCGAATTTCCCATAGGAAATAAGCTATATCATAGGTCTCATGGTAAGACCTTGACCTGGGATCAATTTACTTTTTTGTTTTGAAAATCCCAAAAAAGTATAAATTTAAAATTACCTACCATGTTATTCTTATGGAGAATAAATAAACAGTTTGAGCTTGCTTGTCAATGGACATCTTTTAATGAAATTTGGAAATTTTGTTTACTGCATACTAAGCTATCAATATTTCAATAAAAAAAAGCACTATTGTCTTCCCTGTAGCAGCAAACCTAAGTACTCTATTAATGATATTTAAATAGGAAATAAATCTGACAATTTTAAGGGAATAATTTCGTGGAATTCCAGCCAGGTGGATGGAAATTCGCTTAGTTTGCTGCGCCGGGGGTATTTGTTTTTAAATTTGTTCTATGTATTTGTTATGGGAAAAATCTACCTTTGAGAGCGCCTCACGCCCTTAAGGGTAAACATTTTTAAATTCTAAAAACTTATTGAAAAACTACAAATTGAGGCAACTTTTTTGACACATAAAATGTTAAAATTGGTCCACAAATAAGGAGTAGTTTTCACAAAAAACAACTTAAAATATTATAGATATAGATTTATTGTAATTTCTGTTCCTCACTATAATATTAGTTTTGTTTACACTGTTACTCACAATAAATTAAAGAAAATTATAAGATAGATGAATTAAAGAAAGTATAATCTAAACTTAATAAACATTTCTTTTAAATAAAAAAAACACACATTTAACATCTTAAAATAATTAAATTGAATATTTCATCCTGAGACCATTACGGTATATACAGTTTTTGTAAGTGTTTACATGACAAATAAATGGGCAGATTCCAAATCGATTCAATAATTGAAAACCTCATTTCTTGAGATAGTTGTATGGACTCATTGCAAACAAAGGTTTGTCTCATGCTATTCAGACTGGATGGTATCTAAAATAAATTTTATAACAGTAGATTTAAAGACAAATTAAAATATGGCTACCACAACAAATTGTAATTGAAAGTGTTGGAAATTAAACTGTCAAAAACCAAAATTAATGACAAAATGATGACAATAATATTACGATCATCAAACCATTTAGCATTTAAGGAAAAAGCTGTTGAAATTATTAGTGCCTATTAATATCATTAGGTGATAACTGGTTGATGTAATTAATTTATGATGTAATAATGCAACGCCCCACCCACATTACATGTGGATGCCCCCCCCCCCCCCCCCACCACCAACCAAAACAGCACCACTTGTTCGCGAATTTCCCTATAGGGAAGTAAGCTATTTTATTCTATTCTTTATCTCAGCAAAAACTGTGCCCGCAGTCACCGAAACAACACCTTTATTGGCGATTGCGGTGAGCTGCGACTGTCGGACCTCAGTGCTCCCTGGACCTCGGCACTCTCCTTTATTTTGGGGGTTGTTGCGGGGATGTACGCCACCAGCAATTGGCTGCAGTATTCTACAGGTTTTTGATCAGCAAAGTTGTTGCGATATCAATGAGCTGTTTGATTACAAACGTTGAACAAAGGAGTTCTAGTTGGCTAGCCAACAAAAGACACAGGTGGAGATTGATTTTTATTTAAATTTCAGCATCACTCAAGAGAGTTTCAGAATCGACCCATTTATAAAATTAAAGAATATTACAAAATCATACTTTTATATTCCAACACAGCCACACTATTTTATTAGGTTGAGAATGACGAAACTTGGGTAGACTGAACTTCCAAGTTAGTAACACTACGAGGTGTCAAAACACTACGTTGTTGGTAGATCAGGCTCAACTTCTTCTGCTTCCCCTCCAATTGCACGCCAGAATGCTAACACGACCTGAGAACACAAATTTACAATTATTTTTAATTTGTATGTATATCAATGCCTTTGGCATTTTTGGCGTTAAATGTTTCCCTCCCTATTATAATGGAGAAAGAATTATTTTTTGTAAAAATTGTTGGTTTTCAAAGTGATGTCTGCTGTGCTTGTGTGTGGTGTGTGTGGGTGTGGATATGTAGAGAGCTACAGACTAAACCTGTAGTTTGATGTTGATGAAATCGAGTAGCCTATGTGGGTACTAATCCTTATATATAATACGTGAAGGCGATTTCTACAAAATACTACTCCTCCGTTAATAATGGACGGATTTTTACAATTTAATAAAGTAATTTTTGTATGGACGCCCCTTTTCACCAATTCCTGTAATAAAAGTCCTCGGGCTTTGCCCCACAGGCCATCAAAATCCCAATGCATTTCTTATGAAGAAAGGATTTTGTTTACTTAAACAGACGAATAATTTGTATTATTCGTTGCAATTAGACCTTGCATCTTTTAGTTTTTTAGTTGTGAACATAAAGTGATTATTTATTTTTATATATTTATTTATTTATTGTAGAAATTTTGAGAGTTTTGCAGAAGCATGTTGATTGATATTGAATTTGCCTTGTGACCATTATGCCTTGTTTAACTGACGATTCAAAATGCATGTAATTTGTCAAAAGGAAAATAAATATTCTTATTCTTATTCTTATTAATTACAGCTGTTCATAATAAACACAAGAGCGTTCGTTTTTGGAGTGAGTTCGTTTTTAGTTTCGATAACTGGAGTACATTCAAAAGTTAACTATTTTAAGTCATCGGAAATTATGACTGTTATTCGTTTTGAAATAACGCCTGTAATCCTTTGCAATTGCTCGAATTCGAGCAACAGGTGCACTAGTAATTATTAATAATAGGTTAACAGATATATTAATCAGATTTTCTAACAAAAAAAAATCTGATTATGTAAAAACGGCTAAAATGATTATAATAAAATTTTAGTAGGCCTATGTTATCTAAATATATAAAAGGCAAAGCCCTCACTGACTCACTCACTCATCACTAATTCTCCCACTTCCCATTTACCTAGGAGGCTGAAATTCGGTACACCGATTCTTTGGGCACTAAATAGGAAAACTAAGTAGTTTTTATTCTGATCGGGCTTTCGGGCTCCACCCCAGTGGCTCTGGAGTTTCCCATGTTAACCTTATGACTTTTCATATTCAAAAGGAATTAATGAATCTTAACAGCTGTTTCCATTTAAACAAGTTGGTTCTGTTCTATGATGTTCAATAGCATTAAAGTTACAAGGATTACCAACAGGGTGCAGGACTATTATTTTTTTTTAATTTATGACAACAGCTAATTTGCAACCAAAAGGTGAGTGAGCGTAGCGAACGAACTTCAAACTGGAGGCAAGTTAGCGTAGCGAACGAGCTAACCTGAAGGCAAGTGAGCGCAGCGAATGAGCTCCAACCTAAAGGTGAATGAGCGTAGCGAACGAACTTCAACCAGGACGTGATTGAGCCATGCGAATACTTATGAAGTTAAAAAGGGCAAAGCCCGCGAGTATAGCTAGTAGCTTTATAATTTTAAACAAAACGGAACAACTCCCAATGCTGTAACAGTTACAATTTAGAGGTTATTGCATTTTTTATGATTTTTTCCCATAAAATTAAATGTGCTTGGATTGTTACATTTATTATTCGGCTTATTTTCTCTTAACCAACAGATTATTCAACTGCAGAAGGAGTTCATTTGCACTTATCGTGTCTAATAACATCCAAACACCGAAACCTTACCTAAAATGGTATCTATCTTGACAGATGATTTGCATTGGCCTATTATGGAGCGTGGCTCACTTGCTCTTGTGAGCTTTTTGAAAATGGCACTACACTTTGAAGGTAAAAAATGTCACAAAGGGTAATACTATTTAAGCAGCTACTGTCATGCTCCTTTTAAACTAGATCTCATCATCCTTTATACGCCACGTTGATTAACAACAATGCATGTAAACGTCACTATTTATGTAAGAGCCAATTTTACAGTATTTGCTTTTTGAAAATGCAGCATTGCTTTGTAATTTGCATTATTTGTTGCCAATGAAGCTCACAACCATATGAACGTGGCCCCTAACAGTTCAAGAATAAAAGCCAGGTTCACTAATAGTATATTCCACTGCACCAAGATCATTCCGAAGAGAGATTATATGGACAACTTTATTTAGGAAGGCTGAGACAACTGACATCCGCATGTCAAGGAATTTCAGCTTTAACAGTAACCCCACGACCAATTTCTCAAAACTATGCTAGAGCACAGTTTCATTGGCGCAGAAGTACGGTATGATGACCTATGTGACGAAGGAAAAAATAGAACTTACACAGCTTAAGGGTAGACCTCCTTTTGAAGTAAGAACGTGCCTTCTAAACAAACAGATATTTTTTTCTCAAATAAAAACATTGATTTCATCTGCATTGCAATGATGGAATCGCGGAAGTGTTTACCACAAAAGATTCACCAATACAATTTTAATACTATTTAAAGGTTCTCCCAAATTAAGATGAACCAGTTAACATAGCCTAGTGATAATAACTCCAATGGCATATGGTACTGGAAATAGTTTATTCATTGAATGATCAATCATATTTTGTAGCTAACGCAATAGTCATTATTATTTTAACACTTATTTATTACTCATTAAACAAATCTAAATGCTCAAAACTTTGATAGTTTCACTCTATTTGTCGCAGTTATATGAATAAGCATAAGCCTTGAAAGTAATTGTCGATTTTGACAGGTTTCACCTAGTTTGAATAAATTTTAAACATACATGACTTCTTCCCTAGTATCTATTCTATATCAAAATTTTCAAACAAATCAAAACAACTAGTTTGGTCCAACTAAACTAGGTACCTGTTCTGCACACGCCTTCCTCTGATCATTGGGTAGAGCTGACATTCGCTCTTTCATCGTCTGCAGTTCTCCAAACAGCTGATAGAAATCCGTCTCTGACTCACATCCCAACAGCTCATCTGCAAAACGATTAGAAATCAAAATCAAATTAATACGTTTTGACAACCTTTCAATTTAATTGTCGGAATCCACTGGGATTCGGATAGTTGGATTTTTACCAAAATTTGGAGTTTTTATAGAAAATAGGCTTAGTTGAGCAGAGCTTTTAATATCCCAAACACAGATCGTCTTTGCAAAGATTACGGTAGAAAAATTTACCTTGATGCTTTTGCCACGATTACGAAGGACAATAATGAATTACTGTGATTGTGTGAGACTATGATGAAGCCTATAAGACAGCAGATGTTTAAGATTTTGCCATGATCGCAGAAGATGATGATGGGTTTTCCAGAACCATAGGAGACGATGATGTTTACGTGACCAAAGGAGTTGATGATGATGGCTTCTGCCTTCTTTAATAGAAGTTTTTACTACTGCAGTTGTAGGTTTTAAAATTAGTTTCTATAAGCAATTTGGAAAATTGGCAATTTGGTTAGTTGGGGTTCTGCTATGATAATCTTTTGCAGTCTCGGCACCACTGTGATTATATTTCCTGATCACAAAGACACCATCTCATTTTCTGTAATCATGATTTTCGTGATTTTTTGAACTGACTAGAACATTGAATAAGCAATAACATATGTAATAACAACAATATATGCTGTTTGCATATGTAATAACAAACGGAACACCAGCAATATACGGTCGATCAGCCTTATGATGTTGACAACAACTATTCCAAATTTCCTGATTCCACACAAATTTAATATAATTAACATTCTAGTCCTGGTTATCCAAAATACCACGTGATTCCTGGTTTTCCTAGAAGTGCATGAATGCTTGTAGTGAAAGAATTTGACAGTTTCACATTTGATTGTTGAAAAATGGTTTATCATTGTTTACTTATGACTAAATTTGAACAAGCATGTGTAATTCGGGTCTTATACTTGATTTTCTGTCAAACAGTTGTTTTGGTGGAAACAATGGAAACTGAAACAAACCTTAAAAGGTAGAGTAAGAATTTATTGTGCGTTTGATTGAATATTCTCACCCAGTCTGTCTTCGATGTTTCCTTCGGCAAGTTCGGCAGGTAGAGTGTCTAGTATTAGTGAATCTCCGATGATCTCACCACTTGCCTGACCTCCGTGAAGAAGAGCTGACATTGATGTTGGCTCTTTTCTGTCTGTAAACACAAAAATATTCCTCCTTATCAACAGTATGGCTTCAAACTGTGTGTAACTCTTCAATTTTAGACATAGTTCAAAAACACTGATATGAACAAGACACTGCACCATCAGGTACCACGTATTGCCAAATGATTGGGAATGGTGGGAGCAATAGGAATTTTACTAACCTTATGAGAATGTACTCTCTTAGAAGAATACCATTGGCTTGGATTCAAACTTACTCAAGTTTTTGAAGTCAGCTTCCCTGAATATAAGCTTTAAAAGTCAGAAAGTACATTAGAATTATAAAATTATGTAAGCCCAAATCCTAATTTCCTTACTAATTAAGGCTTCATTTATTTTTATCAGATCTCTGATAAATCCAAAATGTTTAGAATCCCAACCCCTCCCTGAATACACTCATGGTGGCAGTCATAGAAAAAAAGCTAAATAATAAGGTCTTGCAAGTTGCAAAAAGATTAAAACTCTTTCTATTGGGAAAGTTAGTTACGAGAGGTGTTACCTCACAGCTACTAAATCATTTATAAATCCAAGATGAATGACGGATAGTCAGTAAATATCCGATTAACACACTACCTTTGAGAGTTAGGTTGGGCCAGACATGTGCGTGCAAAGCTTGGACGACTCTTTTGATTCCAGTTGTTTCTACAAAATCTTGTTCGGCTTCCCACTCCTCATCAACTTCTGGATCCAGTTCTACCAACTCGAACCCATGCTGTACACACCACTCTAGTGCTGCCAACATAAATTCATTGAAAGTCTCTTCTAACAGGCCTAACAATTGTGCAGATTATATGATGTAGACTGCTTAGTTAAAAGAAGCACACCAAGGGTTAGATAGGTGTGTCCACAACTGTACTGTAGGCTACTTAGTTGATCACTTATAAAATAAATAGGGTGAGTTAGAGGAACAGTTGGTAGCGCAAGACACTGACTTAGAACCGAGGCAGCGATACTGAACCACTTGGGTGGTAAAGAAAATTAGGTTGAAAAGGCCAACTTCTTAAAAAATTCTCATTACTGAAGTGACTCTCCTGTGAGGCTTATCTATTTTACTCAAACACCTTGGATCTAATACCCTACACATTTCAAAATTGAGAACATACAAGTTAAAAGTAGTTAACACAAGTACAGTCAGGCTACATACAAATTATAATTATATAAAGAAATTATTCAAATCCGTAGTTTCCTCCTTCAACCTACCTGAAAGTTTGGAGACGCCACAGTCATTGCATCGGTTGCAAAGCAGAATGCTAATGTCAACTTCGTAGTCTTTCAAAAAAGAATTCCAGCTCTCTACCACTTCCAGTCCATTTTTCTGAAAATATATTACAAGAGAGAATAGAATGAAATGTTTTCTTTTAGAAGTAGGCTATTGTGTTTGTGTATAAAAAACATAGTAAATATGTTACAACTGTATTTTTTGCCTGAAATCTTCAAACTTCCTTTAACTTAGCCTATGTTATAAAGTTTATAATCATAACAATAGGCCTACTATCTTATCTTACTAATATTATAAATCTGAAAGTTTGTGAGTTTGTGTGTGTGTTTGTTGTTCAATCACGCATAAACTACTGGACGGATTGGGCTGAAATTTGGCATGATGATAGCTCACATTCCCGATTAACATTAAAGCATATTCATATACCAAAAATCCTTTCGGGCTTCGCCCCAGTGGCTCTGTAGTTCCCCAAGTTAACCTTATGATTTTTCATATTTAAAAGGAATTAATGAATCCTAACAGCTGTTTCAATTAAACAAGTTGGTTCTGTTCTATGATGTTCAATAGCATAAAAGTTACAAGGATTACCAACAGGGTGCAGCACTATTATTTTTTTTTTATTTATGACAATAGCTAATTTCCAACCAAAAGGTGAGTGAGCGTAGCGAACGAACTTCAACCTGGAGGCGAGTTAGCGTAGCGAACGAGCTAACCTGAAGGCAAGTGAGCGCAGCGAACGAGCTCCAACCTAAAGATGAGTGAGTGTAGCGAACGAACTTCAACCAGGACGTGAATGAGTCATGCGAATACTTATGAAGTTAAACGGGGCAAAGCTCGCGGGTACAGCTAGTAAAGTATAATAATAGGTGATTGATTGGATATATAGGTGCCTCACACAAATTGTTAGTGTTGATATCTTATTTTATTTTATAGTATTTTACCAAGGCAAAAAAAGTGGTTCGGATTCCACTTTAAACTGTAGGTCCCTTAGTTGCCATTGGTTGTATGGGCTATTAATTAAGGAGTATCTCAGTCTTAGTCACTAACAAGACTACAAGATCGCACCACTCATCTTACACTCATCTCCATTCGTACTTGGCTACTTGGTATGGTCGCCATTTCATTGAAAATTATTGAAAAGTATATCTACTGAATCCAAATATAGGATTATTAATTTTTTCCCCCTAATTAACTAATGCTAAGTTACTACGTGATATCACTTAAATAGGCTACTTATACAACTTAAATGTAGCAAAGCCAAGCCAAATACATATAATGTAAGCTTCGTCTATATGATTTCATATTAACATTATCAATTGAGATGAGGACGCCAACTAGGCATATTTTATCCCAAATATGAGTGAATGATGAGTGTAGAATGGAGTAAGACGACCTGGGTAGCTTTGTTACTGACTAAGATCGGCTGTTCCATTAGTCAGTATCATTTATTTAAGCACAATGATCAGGGGCAGCTGGGTCTTGTTTCAAGCCATCGAAAAGCTACTTACCTACTACTCAGGCAACCTTTTGATTGTTAGGTAAGCACTATAACTACTCAGCTACCTAGCCAGTCAATCGGGCACTTGGAAGGCATTCAATCCCTTCCCTCTTTGTCTGCCAAAGGTGTCCTAGTTTTGCTCAGACTAACTATGGCAATCTTACCAAAAAGCGTATGTGTATGCTTTGCATAAACCACTTGCCTCACCTGCAAACTGTCAAAATATATTATGACAGCCTGTACTCCATCAGCCAAACTTTGAGGTAGTAACATTTTTGTGGGTAGAGTGTACAAAGTAACGTCAGTTTCATAATACTTGGTACTGATATGCCATGGATATGAGTCTATGCCTTCTGTAGTTTGAGCGTTAAACGGGAGTCCTTCTTTATCAAAGATTTCTGAAAAAAATCAAGTTATAACAAAAAAATATGTAAAAAATTATAACTTTCATAATTATTACTTATTAGATGTTGAAAGTTATTGACTTCTAAGTGAGCGAACAATTACTTCCTTATTCCTTGAGAAATGTTTTTGTTTAAAAATGAAGTTGCTCAAGGAATAACTTAACCCTCCAAGTGGCCAGCCGAACGTATTGGTAAATTCATGAGTGAGCCTTAGTATGGCCAACAACCGGGTCGGTCCGTTTGGGTCAAAAGATTTTTTAACGCTAATAAAACATTTATAATAAGCCTAATGAATGAAACCTATCAGTTGGAAGTCAAGATTCTAAAGTTTCATTTTATTACACAAAGAACGCCAGTAGCATCACTATCAAAATATTTTGACAGTTAGAAGAAAACAATATTTTTAAGCTGTATATGTCAATCCAGCAAAAAACGTCAACACTGAGTTTATTCAAGTTAGGCCCTACAGTAGACTCCCTCTTATCTCCGGACTCCTCGGGACCGAGGCCAGTCTGGGTAATGGGGTTTTCTAGTTAAACCGACTGCCCAAAAAATCGTTAAAAAAAACAGATTAAATGCGTAATGTATACAGTATTTGACTTAAATTTAGAAAAGCATTGTATTTAGACACGTGATCACTGGTCTCAAATCTTTCCCACGAGAACAGTCGTTTCAGTACCGCCCACTTCCTGCCGATCTAGTCCGGTTAAACGGATGTGCTGATAAAAATTGTTCGGTTAAAGAGGTGTCATTTCCCTCGAGTGTAGTCCGGTTAAACCGGTGTCCGGTTAAAAAGTGTCTGGATAAGAGGGAGTCTACTGTACCTACTCAAAAGTTGGGTGGATTTCATTTTTGTCTGTTGCTGCTGGTATCAATGTATAAGTTTATGCAGAAAGAAATATTGAGCAAGAATAAGTTAATAATACTGCAATTCATTAGAAATATTGATTGTAGGCCTGAATCCTGTAAGATTTTTTGGAAAACAGCTGTTTTTGAAAAAACAAGAGAGTGGCCAACTGACCAAACCAGTTGGTTACATATTTAACATATTTGGGTTCAAATACGCACCTAGTGGCGTCCCCATCTTAAATAATTGAATTAATTGATTGATACACAAATGTCAATCATGCGTAGGCCTACCCGTGGATGATAAAAGTTTTGGTAGTGACATAACTTAAGCCTAGTGAATTTGGAGAGAAGACGAAGGTAATGTCCATTGACCAAAGTGTATTCATAACGTAGTCCTATAACTTAGCGTCTTGGCCTAGGATGTGTGTAACTTTGGCATTTATTACAAGTATATTATTATTGAATCTGTTATATGATCAACACATTAGGTTAAGTGACAAAAGATATATAGGGCCTAGGCCTACTTAACTTACTCTTTGCTATTATAGATGGTTCCGTATTACTGTCACAACTAACTACCAGAATACCAGGAATTGGTTCCATTTTGATGATCCTCCTAAATAAATACTGATTTTTATCATTCAATAAAAGTTCTAAAGTTCTCACTTAACCATTTACTTTGTTAACAAGTGTTAACTTAAGTTAAAGAATTGGTGAATTTTAAGTTGACCAGTTATTTAAATAACAGTAAATAATTCCTTAGAACAATTCTTTCATGTAAGATATATACACACATATAACACTGTCACTTTACGTTAACGTTAACTCTGAGAAGTGAACAATCCAAATATTCCAAATTTATTACAAATTTACAAAACCCCAAATAGGTTAGGGTCTGGGGAGTTTGGCAATATTCAATATTGGCAGACGAATCAACAAAAACATTTTGGCTATTTGACAGTGTTGAAAACTCACGAAACAAAAAATCACCTACATGATCGTATTACTGACGTTAATACATACTCAATGGTTAGATTAATCAATGATTAATGAAGGGAAGATGGTACAACTATTAATTCTGTAATAAGCCAGAACCATGCCAGAACCTGTAAGGTTGATGTAATTCATTATGTCGACCTCCACCCTCCAGTCAATGCTCTACAAATTATTTTTTCCTCTAAATGTCCGTGTTTTTAGCGCTGATTTCAAAATGAAAGTTCCAGGAAAAGCGGAAAAACACTTCACAGCAAAAGTTAATGTTGTGAGTACTCAAAGTATACAAAGTTTCACGACGAATTATTGGTATATTCTTTTATTACGACCCAAAAACTATAAACACGTTGAAAAATCCCGCCAAATGTTTGTAACGCGGAAAAACACCTTTTGCACAAAGGTCATGTTGTGAGTTCTCAAATTGAGTGGAATTTCACGATGAGTTCAACGTGGTTCAACGGTGTATCTCTTCATTACGATCCAACGATAATAACCTCGTAAAGCCCGCCAAATGCCTGATAATCGGAAAACTGATAAACCTGATAATGATGACCTCCTAAACTAACTAACAAAAGCGTTGGGGTTGATTTGGTTAGGTTAGGAAAACCTAGCTAGTAATCTAATCCAACCTAACTTAACAAAACCTGACCAAACCCATGTTGTTAGGTTTGGTTAGGTTATAAGAAAAACTTATAATCTAACCTAACCTCACCTAATCAAACCCAACGCTTTGTTAGATTAGGTCAACTACTAGGTTAACTAGTTTTCCGATTATCAAGCATTTGGCGAGCTTTTACGAGGTTATATTAGTCGTAATTTTGCTAAGGTCTTTTAGTATGTTTTAAGAAGGCTTTTCCCGATTTTCCGGGAAAACGGTGCTTTTCACAAAAATTGACTATCAAAAAGATCAAATACTCCTTTGAGAAAAAATAACAAATTCTAAAAGAAAGAAATTATTCGTTTGAGTAATCAGCGTTAGAAAACGAAAATCAAGGGAAAACAATGTCTTGACAGATGACTAGAGTTTGACATAATTTCCTATGTGGAATTCGTGCGAAGGGGGCCGGTAACTATCCATTTATCGGTTTTTGAGTGTTTGATTCACAGCAATCAATTGTAATTTGTACTGTAACCCACAACTGTAACTGCAACTAACTGTAACTACACTACTGCTGCCGCTGCTGTACTTTTAAGTAATAATCTTTAAGACATGTCACAGATTTAAAATGCGGATCAAGAGTGCAGCAGATAACACATTTAACACGTTCAGATATAAAACAATATATTCTCTAAACATCTTTCCAATAACTTTCCAGTTGTTCATTATTATTGTTAAAAGGTCATGTGATCGATAAACATTATTTTTGGGTCTTCCCCTCTGCAAATAGGACTCGTGGATAGGTTAATTAATTAACCTCATTAATTAATTAATATATTCAAAATTAATTAATTTTATCAAGTGATAGTAAAAAGCCGAAAATACGTCATCTATATATTGTTTTAATCGATGAGATTTCCCAATGCGTGATCTGTTAAAGTAAATATCTAACATTCTATTTGAACTTTGAATACACATCCAAACCAGCAACAAACCCGTCAATATAGGGTATTTCTCTTTTCACACGTTGGCAACGCGCTCGGAATAATCACATTTCTTCTTCCTCTTCTCAACCGCAGCCCGACCGAAGCCGCAGCGGAGTCGGGCCGAGTCGGTTGACGTTGAAGCAGGGAAGGACAAAAGTAGGGCGGTATCGGGGTTCGGACAGCACGTGATTTTGACACAAAATCGCCATGGATCCCGAGGCCTTCTTAGATCTGGCCAACCAGGTCACAAAACTGAAAATGTTCCCTTATTTTGACATTGCCCACAGTGTGTTATGTGCTCTCCACGTACGAGAAGATCTGGGACCAGGTAAGTGAAGTTCTTAAAATAGATCGCTTTTGTTTTACTCTTATCTCCTCTACAGATTATTTTAACAGCCCATTTTATTAAATAATTATTTAAAAACTATGTCAATAACCCCTGCGAATCAATTATGTCTAATGATATTACTTATTACGGTTGACATAACACTTGACCTACTTGACGAAACTATCGTAATTGCTTATTGAATAATCTCGAGTAAATTAGTTTGTAAATTTAAATTACAATAATTACAAGACACCTCATATTTTCTGTCAAGATTTTGTCCAAACTGTAGCTTTGGAAGTACAGAGAATCGATAAGTTATGGTTTCCATAAAAGGACGCGTTTGAAAACTCCCGCCATGCTCAATGAGTTTGTGTTGCATGGTTGCATCATTATTCCGTAGGCGTTCAATTTCAATTTGATACTATTTCTGACGTCTGTGACAATCTCAGCGCGACGGAGCGAAACGAAACGTGGTTTATCGCTAGTGGACAGTTTTATCTGTTGATCTTTTTTGTCGTACGATTAATTTCTAGTTTAACCATTTGTTTTATTTTTAAACTACATAATTGAAGTAAATACGTTTTTCTAGCGTATGTAAATAAATTTATATCCGTGCAAAATAACTAATTGATGACTTAAATTTATAATTTTTATCGTGATAAAATATGTTTTCAGTGGTAAACAGTTGATATCAATATACCCTTTCGCAATGGGTAACCGACACGTCACGATTATAATGATCGGCAAAACCATGTAAAACAAACTTTACTTTGTTTAACAAGTTCAAAGGAACAATAGAAATATTATTTGTCATCAATCAAAAATATCTTAGGTAGTAGCGGCGTTTAGTAAGAAGTCCCGAAATAGCATTTTTTTGCCGCCAATGAATAGGCTTAACATCGTTACGACATGGGCACGACTTCGTGATTTCTTGATTGTAAAAGAATATCGGTTAATCTTTACAACATTTATCATAGGTAAGGCTAAACGAAACAATTGTGAAATATTATAGTTTAAACAAATTATTATTATGTCGAAAGTAAGTTTAGTAGAAAATTAAAAGTTGAGACCAATAATTATTGTCCAAATACAATTCGCCTTATTCGTGCGTTTATTTTCTCGACTTAAATACGACTTTGATTTTTTTAAAGTATGCAGTATCTTTGATTATCCAATAGCCAATGGCAGTATTTAAAAGTCTATTTAACCCTGTGACATTACAAGGTATTTGGTATTTTATTTTGATTTTAAAAAGAAGTTACTCGTCCGCATGGGTTCAAAGGCCTGCGGTGCGTAGAGTAATAAAAACAACGGTTTGAGCCGGTACAGCGAATTAATGAAAAGTAATAGGCCTATAATACATTTAGGTTTACACCTTGTCAAAAATTTTAATTGACTGTCCTTCATAGCAGATTGGGTTGAATAACAAATAACTGTATAAAACGGAATAATTGTACAATAATTGGGTATAGTATAGAAGCCTAGTGGGTGCGCAGCTTATTGCAGTAGCTTGAAAGAACCAAATTCTTCTCTTCTGCGCTCTCAAACATTTGAAAATCACGGCTAAAACTAACTTAAAAGTACTATTAATTGTTTTGTTCTGTGACGTCTATCCCGACTAAAGTGCACTGTGTACGTGGAAAGAAGGAATTTGCATGCAAAGGTTTAGCAGGGGGAGGGCTAAAACAAGGCTTCCTCCCTAAGCCTAGTCTAGCCACTTATTACCCCGCTACACCCCTTCTACCATCAACATAGTGTAATCAACTTGCAACCTTGACTCGAGATGCATTTTAGCAATAATGAAATGTGAAAGAGTTGTCGAAATGTGTTGCATTTGGAATTTATTGTTTCGTAGACTTTGAATAACTACAGATGAGCCAAGGCCACACTAAAAAAACAGGCCGTAATGTTTTTTAGTGTGGCCTTGGATGAGCGGTTGAATTATATATTGTTTACCACGATTACTAGAAAAATACTGGTATGGATCATAAACATAAACAAATGACGTTTTTGGCCCAAAAATAAACATATTTAACATTGCATGGAACTGCTAAAACATATGTTCAATGCTATTAGTATAGGATTCGGGCCAACAACGTCATTTGTTTATGTTTATGATCCATACCAGTGTTGTTTACTATACAGTTTTATTTAGTATGTTCTCGTGAAACCTGTAGTTTTATATTATTTTTCCAATGGTTTTAACTTTTGAATTTTTAAGACGTTTTTATGGGTTTTTGTCGTGTATGCACGTATATTAGTAGTTTATGTTTAAGTATATTTCTACTGTTAGTAGTTAACTACTGTCAACGATGTAAAGAAAACGAGTTGTGTATAGTTGACTACTGTGGATAGAGGATTATCAGTTCGTTTCTCTATCAAACGATTTCCTTTTATGTGTTCTACATTGTGAAACCTATATTTTTATATTTTCTCCATATAAGTGCACGATTCATAAATGTCAGTTGAGCAATTAATTTGGTCATTTATGCTCCTCGGATCATTCTTCCCTTTCACTGTTGGGACTGTGGTCCCGGTCCCATAAGTGACAAGTAAGTGGGTTGTACTAAACTTGTATGACTTTTTAAAACGTTTTTTATGGATTTTTGTCGTGGATGCACATAAATCGGCCGTTAACTGCTCGTAACGTTGAAGTATTTAGTTAACAAGAGCAAGGATTACCAGTCCACTTGTCTGCTTTGATCGATTTCTTTTTATGGGCATCAGACCAAGTTGCTTCATTGCACCACTTTTACTGTAGCAATGTTTTGTAGTTTGATACCTAAAATCATCAGAATAAAGAGTAACCATTTACTATTAATTTTAAATAGTGCAGGTTGAGTTGGACAATAATTTAGATGAATGATTTGTTTGCAGAAAAAGTTTGTAGAGCAAACAAAATAATCTAGAGAGGAAAAAAGAGGGTAGGCTGGGATGAAATTTGTTTTAGCAAAAATTCTACAAACTTTCATTAACTGTAGCAAAAATTGTTCTTTAAGCATCCTTAAAAATTGTGGCAGCAATATTACATGTTAGAACATAAAACATCTTCAATTTTATTTGTAGTAAATGTTAGCCTGCAAAAACAAAGTAGCATTTTTAAGTTGTGTATAGAAAAGTGTTAAAAATGCTACCGCACACTGTTTGTACGAAAATCGTTAGTTTTGAATGGTTTATTGCTATTGATATGACATTTTTTTGTAACTACTTAATGTAAAATGGTGTTTGCCGTTGTTGTTTAATATATAAATAAATTGCTTTTAATTATGCTACTTCATTTACATTGATTGCAATGCATGTTTTCCATGTTAAAAGCAAATAAAAACATTAATTTCATGTTAATTGGAAGCATTCGATGTGTCTTAGCTTGGTTAGATATGTATGAATCCTCAAATGTTCACGAAATAGTTTCTTCCTTTTAAAATTATAGATTTTACGCTTTTAGGTCAAAATACCACAGAACAGTAAATAAATAAGTTTATATAACCATTTTATCATGCTTATAATTACAATTATAAAATAACAAACGTTTAATTGGTGAAATAAGACGAAATAACAACAGTAGACGTTTGTAAACAAACACTTTTCTACAAACCTTAAGTTCAGAGATCGTCTTCAGTTGATCAAAAAGGACGACAAATGAAGTAGTGCAAGTACAAATCAATCAAAATTGGCGCAAAAAGGCCACATCTTCGACGAGAAAAGTATACTTTGCACTGTAAACTCCAATGCCGACAACATAGTCGAGTTTAGTACCTGCATCAACAATGGTAACATATGGTTATGATCGCTAACATTTCGACGTCGCTTTGTTTGTTTACGCGACTATGGGCGTGTCTGACGCAAATAACATGTCTGACAGCTGTTTGGTGAACATAACCTTTGAACCCGACCATGCTTTAGCAAAAGCTTAACTTCACTTCTTCTATATTTTTGCTAGCTAATTATTCTAAATATTGTAAATAACATAGGATTTAGCACAAAAAATATCAATATAAGAATAAACTCATGGCTTAAAAGCGCTAATTTTATACTGATTGAAAAACCTACATGGTATCTCATTCCATTATACACACTCATTGCAGTCATATTCTGCATGATTAATATAAACTTATGTTTCCGTTGCTACCTTAAAAATCTACAATATTTTATTGTAAGCAATAATTATCTGTTTTATGTTTATTTTAAACATAAACAATGAACATTGAACATTTTCAAAAAGCATATCTGTAATAATACAGAAGCCCAAACCCTAATATTGATATTACCGTACGCGTTTTCTATTCTAGTTGAGTTCAGTGTGACGTGAAATAAAATTAATCAGCTGTTCTTAATGCTATGAAATTTAAGTAAGTACCCACAGCTGATTGTAATTTAGAATTTTTACATCCATTACAAAATTAAAATGTTTGGAAAATGATTTTTCCTACAGTTACCTAACAATGTACATGTTGTCTCACTGATTTGAGAAAGCAAAGTGACCAATTCGCTCATCAGTGAGACAATGTTAACATTGTCTCACTCTAATTACTTTGTCTCACTCCAGATTTGCAACGTGAAGGCACGAAATAGTGAGCGCGTAACATGCAGGCAACGTCGTATGCGCGCGAAATACGTTGGCAGCACTGACTGTAAATCAGCTGGTCAGCTGTTGTACTGTTGTATTTGTCACTTCACATTAAATGTTATATTAAAAGTTCACTTCTGTGTAAAAATAGGTTATGTTTCTTCACCAATTTATTTGTTTTATGGTAACTGTAGGAAAAGAATAATGTGCAACTCGAGTTCAAAGTACAATTGCCTCACTCAAGAAACCATTCCTCACTCGCCTACGGCTCGTGAGTAAGGATTTCTCTCGAGTGAGTCAATTGCTCACTTTTCTCACTAGTTGCACAAATAACTATTTCCTACGAATATTAGAACAGCAACTCTATAAATAAACATAAACAAATTACGTAACTGACCCGACAGTAAACAAGTTTTCATGGAACTGTCAAAAA